ATGGACAGAAATTAATGGATAAAAACTTAGAGCAAAGGGTTGATTAGTAATTGGGAATTATATACAATTAAGAAATTGCATGCCACCCTTGTAATATCATCGAGGAGAAAGACAACTGAGCTATGTTAATTTTGATGAATGTAAAATGATTTTTTTAGATGATCGAGAACTTAAAAGTTTGAGGGTTGAAATGATAAAAGAGAATAATTGAAGCCAACGTCCGGCCAGCAAGCAGAGGAGGTGTTTTCTTAATTATGTCGTGTAGCTTACGCTAGTAGATCTCTATAACTAGGTTCATTGTGTCTTGACTAAGCAACAACATGACCAGCGTAGTGTTTGAATTTGAGATCTCATAGCTCCATAAGCACTTGCCACACTGTGCCATCTTCTAATTAGGTGGCTACTAATGGTATATTAATGATATAATTTAGCGTCTTTTGAACTCAGAAAAGCACAAAATTTAGTTTCACTGCATGTGACTACTGTGTTGGATTCCATATGCATAGAAAAGAGAGTTTGAAGTGATGGGATTCTATAATTTCTTTTAGTTAGGGTTCTTGTTCATGCATTTTGACTAAACCTCCTCCATCAATTCAGGTGGGAGCTTTGAATCATGCACAGTGCCCTATTCTTGAGTTCTTCAATGATTCAGGCAGTGCTTTTTGTTGATTGATTTTATTGTTTGTTATGTTTGCAATATGGGAGAAGAGAGAATTGAAGCTACTTTGAAAAGGGCTTCTGCTAATTCTTATGTTAGATCCAATAACCAACAACTTGGGGAATTGGAAGAAAATTTGTAGGCCACCCAAGTGGTAGCTTCAAGCTTTCCTCTTCCTTTTGAACCCTTAATAATGCTCTCTCAACAAGAATATGGAAAAAAATATGCATCCCTACAGATGCTTTTTCTAGGTCTACAAGTATAATAAAGAAAAATTCAAAGTCTAGAAGTAATTCTGTGCAAGAATTGGACTACTCATAGAGATAATTTTCCTTTTCAATATATATTGGCTGCCCAAAACAAAGCTTTCAACTTCTATATGTGTTTTAAGTTTCTTTAATCATTGTTTAGTTTATCATTTTATTTGTCCTTATTAACAAAAAAAAAATAAAAATTCATAAAGACTCTTCATAAATATGTTATAATTTTCAACATATATATGAAACACTAGTTTCTCTTGTATATCTAAAGTTAATTCTCTCTTTTTTTTCCCTACAATAACATAGTAAAAGAAAAAATGACTTTATTATATGTTCCTTACAACTACTTTAATAAAAAGTTTAATAATGCTGTAAAAAATAAATAAATAAGAAGTTTTGATAATAAATTATCACTTCTAACATTTTTAACGTGTATTATTTATAAGTAAATTTTCTATAATGCATATTTACTTTAAAATGTCAATGTTTTCCAAATTTACAAGTTAATAAAAATAAAACCATCAAAATTTACAAAAGTAAAAAAAATTAACGAGAATAAGAAGTGCTTAATTAGTAATTAGAGATTATTCCAAGAAAGTATAAAAGGGAGAAGTTTAGTGAAAGAACTATGAGTGAGTTATTGAGAGAAAATGTGTATATAATAACGAAGTTAATGAAGAAAGACTTTTTTTTAGAACAAATAGATTACAAAATAATAATGATGATGATTAGAGAAAGAGATCATTGGTCAGAGAAAAAGACTCTCCTCCCCTCGAGTTTGGAGGTTCAAATTTCTGTTTTAAATATCTGTTATTGTATTAAAAAATTCTTAATAAAAAAATTAGTAGTTAATAAAATAAAGTGTATGTTACAAAAAAAATTGAGGATAAAATTAATCATTCTAGCCAATTTTGCTCATACCGTAAGTGTTCGAATGAGAATTTTGGAGAAATTTAATACGTGGAGTTAAAATTGATTTTTTTAATTAATTTGTACAGTGGATACAATCTCTAATTTTTTTTTTTCTCTTGGACATAGGACTAGAATGTTTATTTTTTAATCTAGTGGCTTCGTTCAGATTTTGGCTTGCTTTTTGATTTCTTTGGATCAACCTCTGTTGAAACTACTGCTTAGTCTTCCTTTTTTATTTGGTCTTCTTGATTTAATCTTGTAACATCCAGTTGATTTAGTCTGTTATTTTTAGCTCTACTATTTTTAGGCCTTCGAGTTGTAATAACGATAAATGCTATTACAAAAAACCTCAGTACTTTCACAACAACTTCAGCAACAAAATTCTGAAATTGAATTTTTTATCTTTTCAGATTCAGAATTTGAAATTTTTAGTGGAGGAGAATTACATTAAAAAGATAACAACTTTGATAAACTTATTTTAGGTTTGTTAAAATTAAAACATGTAAAATATAATGTATTCTAGATTATATAACCTTGTAAAATAATAATTATACAAAATTCATAAAAAAATGTTAATAAATTAATTAATATAACTTTAGATTAAACTGAATATTTAATTTATAACTACTCATAGTTTACAAATATATTTACTAAATACACATTGAACAATTTTTTAAATTGAGATTCAATTGCAAACTCTATTACCAAACACATATATGAAAATACTGAAAACAAAGAATACAACTTTGGTTTTCATTGAATCCCTTGTTTTCAAATTTCTGTTTTCTGATTACCAACCAAACGGATCCTTAGAAATCCTCTTAAAACAACACTAGCAATAGATGTTCTATTCAATATCGCACAATGTGGCAAGCGATGTAGTCTCGCCCTTCAAGAGAGGTAGGTGTGTGGAACGCTTGGAAAACAGATATGGGTTAACTAATAAGGCTCATATCAACCAACTAAAAGCTAATAGAGTAGTTCGACTCGATTTGATTTGCGAGTTCTACCAAAAATAAAAAATAAAAAATCGATTCAACCCGAACCGACTACATATATATATATATATATATATATATATATATATATATATATATATATGTGGTTACTTTCAATTCTTCCCTCTTCTCTCCCTCTATCTTTTGTCACGTTAGAGGTTTGATCTCTCGTACCTCTAAATTGTTGTACTAAAGAAATTGGAAGTAAAATTATTGAAATCCTCCGTGTCTCTCCAATCTCCATCCATCCTAAATTCCCTCTTCAATCATTCCCATCGTCTTGGACTCTCCACCATAATTATTCGTCACAATTGAATTAAATGAGACGATGTTAAACAATGATACACGAAACATTTAATTTCAAGTGATAGAATTCGCATATCTTCTAATTTAAGCACTATTATTTTAGATTTTCGACACATGACTAATCAATTGAATTATGTTGATGATATTAATAAAAATTATATTTAGTTTCATAGGTTGTAAGAACGATGTGAAACGGTATGTTTGGTTTTACTACTAAACAAAAAAACACCTTGTAAAAGTTTATGATAAGAGAATCTTTTTGGATTTTATTACCATAAGGAGAAATAAAAAGCATAAGAATATATAAATGAGTTGGATGCATAAAATGGGGAAAATAATCAGTATCTTACAATATACACACATTATTCAAATGCACCAGCCCATGCAAGGAAAATTAAAATTAAAAAATGGTAAGACTACTAATCGATCAAAACTGTTTAGTAAGAACAAACCTGGAAATGTGTGGAAAATTAAATGCAAATAATATTAATTAGTCTGGAAATATTTCCATTAAATGCACACCAAATAAACATTATTGTCAATCAATTTGGATATGGTCAACTTGTATGCCAAAATTGGTATTATGACATTTGGCATTGTTTTTGTTGCATGCACCTTACAATTTCTGTCCTATCACTCTTGTTTCATCATTTACATATATTGTTAATTACCTGGCACAAATATTTACAAGTTTTGGAATAGATAACTATATGAGTTTGGTATTTGAAGTATATATACATTATTTTTCATATCTTATAATTCCAATCAAATTTCAACTCAGCGATCTGAATGATTAAGGAAAATATGAGAATCTACGTTTAAAGCATGTTATTCTATATGATTTAACGCTTTTGGAATAATGTTACTTAAATTAAATATCTACCTCATACTTCATATATATATCTTATTTTAATCAAAAGAAAAATCTTGATTCGGTAAATTATTCTCATATAATAGACTTCAAGCGTCCCATGTCACTGGTATCTGTTGTACAATGTTAAAGAAAAAAAAAAGAAAAAATATGGTAAAGTTTTACATATTTTATTTTATAAAGATTAATTTTCTAGTTAAACTTTCTTGTTCCCAAGGATAAAGATATGAAATAAACATGAAATTAGGAAACAAAAATGTCTGCCAATTTGATATAAAAATGACATGAAATGAAGAATATGAAAAATAATGTGCAAGGAAAAATATAAAAGTTTATGGACCTTAAACTTAATAGTTCTGCCATTTTTACTTTTAAACTCAAGTAAGTATTACAGGTGGTACGATCTAATAGATTTTGTTTTGAAAAATCGTTAAAAATATATATTTTCATATGTGTCCAATAAATTGTAAAATATATGTTTAGTTCAAAATTGATGGTACTAAAAAATGAAAACGATATATACTAGACTACGTAATTTTTAAATTCTTGGCAATTTGTGCATATTGATGGAAACACAATTTTGTGAAACATATATATTATATATAATGTTTGATTTTCATTGAAATTAAACCTGGTTTAGAAAATCTTATACTTTGCTTTTTGTAAAAATGAGTGGATAAGCATATGGTTGATAATTATACTATGAGAAATGAAGGTGAGGATAATATAATATACATAGACATTATTATATGTGGAATAATGAGTGTTTCTGTGCAAAAATACAACCTTAAAATATAAAAAGAAGATAAAATTTAAGTGCTAATGGTAGGTAGGATTCTTTTACCACCCTTAATAATTGATATTTAAGAATGATGAATTCATAAAAATAGAGAGAAAATAGAATAAGTACTATCCATTTTTGAATGGCAATAAGTTGGAAGATACCTATTCACTGCGCACTTAAATTTTATAAAAAGGAAAAAGGTGAAAAAAAATTGAAAGAAAGAGGAATCATGGGAAAAATGCATTGGACCACATGGCATTATTATTGTGGTTACTAAAATGATCTCCGAACGGGAGGAGCATGTCCTCCCCAACCAAACCCAAACCCAAACCACCCATGCCCTGATCCTGATGAGGGCTCACGCTCACCAGATCCATCAGCCACGCTGCCGCATGCGGCTGGGGCTGGGGCGGGGGCGGTGGCGGTGGCTGTGGTGGTGAAGGCTTGGTGAGGGATTCGATCCGCTTGGTAATGTCCTTGAGGTTGTGGTCAATGAGCCAGCCAAGATCGTTGAGGTCCACCATGGTGAGACCCTGAAGCCCCTTGGCTCCGGTGAGGCTTTGGAACATGAGCCGCGTCATCTCCTTCTCCCTATTCTCCTTTCTCATCTTCTTAACCTGCTCGTTTGCCTTCGCGATCCTCTGACGGAGAAACGTTTCTTGGTTCACCTGCATGTCATTGTATGCATGTCATTGTACATCAATATACACTAACACTCATCCATTTAAGCTTTTGAGTTCGTTGGTAATTAATTCAACGTTATTATTACTTACCATCTTCTTGCTCTTCTCCATCTCGGGCATCTTTTTGAAGTGGGAGAGCACCCGCTGGACTCCGAGCGGGGACGGCCAGAGCTCCGGTTGAGAATCGTAGGGGCTGAACACGATTGCACAAGCCTCAATCCCACAGAGAGTGCTGAGTTCGCTGACCTTCTTCATCAGCCCTCTCTTCCTCTTCTTGAAAGTTGCCTTTCTTGCAGAGTCATTGGCAATGTAGGCCAGCTTCACCTTCTTCCTCGTCATCCTCATCTACTGCTTGGATTTGCTTCTTAATCTTATTTTAGTCTTATCTCTATATATATGTGTGTGTGTGTGTAGACACACAATCAAACGCTCGTTTGTCCCACTAATTTAATTTATTGCTTCAGATTCATAGGGGATGTGATCTTGGTTGGACAAATTTAATGCACTATTTGGTGTCACCTAATTTAATTTTCCAATTTTCACATTATTGTTATTATTTATTATGATCAATTTCAATTGTTTGGTGGGTTTATGAGTAATTAGGAGTCGTATCATACATAAGATCCACTAACTTCGTGCCCTTTCTAGTAATCTTATTATCACTATTTAATGCCATCAGTTTGTGATCAGGATATGTACGTTTTTGTCTTCTGTTTTATTTTATTGTGTGTAAATAATATGAAATTTCATTCATTTAAACTTCCACGTGGGTTTTGGGTTGTGCAATTTCGTCTCAATGTTGGTGAAGTCGTATTTCTAAATAAGATTACAAGTCAAAATCGAAAAAATCCGGTAAAATCAATCCAACTGAGTAAAATATTTAGTCTTTTGACTCGTCGGACCTATCTTATATGTATGTGGTTATTAAATATTTGACAATTGTAAAAGAAATGCAAGAATAGAGAATTTTTGAAAAAGAATGAGTAGTAAATTTTTCAACGGTGATTTTAACATATATTGATGCTGAAATCTAACTTTCGTGAGAACACGTATGGAACAAAAAAAGTTAGTTGAACTATTACAAAGCGAGAGGTATGTGTAGAAATACTTACACAAAGAGAACAAGTACTTCAATGTTCAAGTCAATAAGAATTGATCTATTTTTCCCAGGATAAATACTTGAATACAAAAATGCTCTCTATATTTATAGGTGACGCCTTGTAGTATACCTCGACTCAAGTATCAATGCACTTAAGGTCGACAATGACCTTGTAAGCTATTTCTGTTTGTTCTTTTGTCAAGCTTATAACTAAGCCACTGTGGATCTCCGAGGTGTTATGAATAGATCATGGTGAGATGATTTAAATTCATTCTCCTATGTTTTATCAGAAAATTGATCAACTCTGCAAAGCTCGAACTCCGAAGGCCAACAAACACACGGAACATTCATAGAGAGAGAAAAGACTCTGACACTCAAGTTAGTCCAAGTCTAATTTATACTCATGAGAGAATAGTTTGACATATCTGAGAAGTGAGGCGAGACTCTCTATTTATAGAGTTTGAATTTCCGACATTGTTTGGGGAGCGGTTATGACCATCTTATAAATCATGGCGCGTTGTGGAGAAAGGTTTGTATGTTTATGTCAGGCAACGTTGTTGTGATCCTCAGCTCGTCCCCTTGCGAGGGTGAGCTATTGAGATCTTCAGTGGTCGGTTCAGCCTGTACGAAGCTCTGGATGACGAATATAGTTTACATCGGCTCGACCTTTACGAAGTTTCGATCTGTTTGTTCTCCCTTCAAAGGTTTGGGTCTTTAGACTACCTCATTACGTTGAATCAGCACTTTCCGACCTATAAGGTGTTAACATGTAGCGTATGAGAAATCACCACCAACATTCTCTTTCTACGTAGTAGGTCGTATTTTGCTCTCCAACAATAGAGATAAGTCCTCACTAGTCAAGACCTAAGTATTTTCTTAAATTTTATCTGACTTCAACCCGTTTTCGACTTTTGCTTTTTTTTTTAATTGGTAGGTCAATTCAACGTTGGTCTTGACCAAAGCCCATTGGAACCGTACCACTACCCAAAAAAACAAAGGTTGGGTTTAGACGTAAATGGGTTGGATGAGGCGTTCTCATAAGTCAATTTTCCCCCAACTAGGTTGGATCCGGCCTTCAAAATCAAGGCCTTTGAAACTATGGGCCCAAAACAAATACATCATTAGAAAGAAAAGAGAAAATTTAATCATTATAAAAGTAGCAAACCATTTTGAACTCTATAAAAATAGCAAAATCTAAATGCCCAATCCATGCAAATACCCATATATCTTTAATAAATATGAAGCTCAAACAATAATATACCTAATATATATATACTTGATTTGATATACCTAATTTAATATATTATTAACATAAAAAATCTAAAAGGGTAAAATTGAAACTCAAATGTTATTGCTATATTTTCAAATATAGCAAATATTAACCACTCATCACAAATTTTCTAATTGGAAACTAATGTTTATGTATGTGTGTATGCGTGTGGATACATATATATACATACATATGTATTATCGAGTGCAATTAAAAATTGATTTTAAAAAATATCCCACTTAGACTCAAGCGCATGAGCTTGTCATAACATCCGCTTGTTAATTGTTATATTTCCCCAATAAATGGATGAAGAGCTTGACTGCAAGACCCACCCGTCGAGCAGGGACGATAACGCACTGAGATACAATATTTTAAAAAAATCATCTAAAAAGTATATTATGGTTCCGACTAATTATCATCAAGTTGAATATAAATGTTAATGAATGGTTACCAAATAAATATAGAAATAAAAATATGGTGAATATGATTGAATTGGAATATTATAATAATGAAGTTGAGTATTTAGGTGGGAGGTGTTATTTGTCTAAACCTAAAGTTAATGAATGACAAGATGGCATAAGGGGTTGTTTGTAAATTGTCCAAAAATCAAAATCAAAATCAAAATCAAGTGATTGTGAAGTATTAGGTGATAAACATCAAAAGTATTTTTGTCTGCCATTGTTGTGATAATATTTGGATATTGTTTGGTTTGCTTTATGCAAAGTGGAAAGATATTTTAGACATCAAACCCACCTTGAAAATAATAATAATAAATAAATAAAAAGGATAACTATTTGTTAAAGTTGAGCAACCTCTATTTCTTGTTTTAAATTTTGGTTAGAATTGTATCTAAAAAATGAAACGGAGAGAATTGTCCCATTCCAATTTGGTGGAACCAAACTCACTGTGGAGTTGTCACAATCATAGGAGATATCGCGAAGATTTTTTACTTTTCTAATGTGCTTATGGACAAAAGTAAAGACAATTTATTACGTTTTTCGAACTCACAATTTCTTGATCTAGAGATATATGTCAATTATCGTTAAATTAAATTAGTTTTAGGTGTAATTTAGTCCAGTAGTAAATAGTAATAGGTGGGGAAGTTAAATGTTGCATTGGTTTGAGTAGATCAAGAAATGGATATATGTATTCTAATTTAAAAAATTCCAAAGATGACCTCACCTTTTCTTGTCTTTGAATCCTACTTTTGGTAAAAAGCCAGCGGACCAAATACATTAGGAATTTGAATTGGAATTGGAATTGGATACCTTTTTTGAATTGATAAGGCTAAGGCGTGGTGTCCTGGATTGGAATTTGGCATATATATTTTATTTTATAATTGAGCCATATCAACAAGTGGGTAGAAGAAAAAGGGTTTTGGTAATTTAATTTAATTTAAGTTGCCTTTATATCAACTCAATAATTACAATTAGCCCCTTGTGTTGTGTACATAATTAGTTTAAAATATTTCATGTATAATTTGGATCCCAATCTTGTAATTTATTTTAATTAAAAAAAACCTTAGAACAATAAAAAGAATTGAAATGCATATGCAGATAGAGATGAAGTGCATGAATTTGGTAGAGGTAGAAGAAAATTAAGAAACGTAACGCAGAGTGCAATTATTGTCCAACAACAACAATTGATTACATTACTGACTACACACACCAACCAAATGAAATAATAGGCAGCAGAAATAAGAAAAGAAAAGAAAAGAAAAGAAATTAGGAAATTAAAACATAAAATTGAGTGTACACACAGAGAGGAGACAGAAAACAGTGGTGTGGAAGAAGAAGAATGAATTTTCACTTGGTGATGGCGTAAACGGCGTAGATAATCCCGGGGATGTAGCCAAAGAAAGTGAGGACGAGACAGATCCAGAACTCAACCTGAGGAGTGCAGTAGTAAAAGGGAATGAATTAAGTGTTATTGAAACGAAGCAATGAAGAAGAAAGAGAGAAATTACATGGCAGCCAAACTTGAGGAAGACACCAAGAGGGGGCAAGATGATGGCCAGTAGGATGTCGATGCAGTTTGTTGTGCCCTCTGCCATTTTTCTGCGAGAGATGAGAGAGTAATAGAACGTACGAGTTATTAGTGGGTGTGGTGGTGGGGGTAGAGCTTTGGAGAGGGGAGCCTATATATATATATATAGAAATATCATTTCTAATTAATTACAGAGTGGCTTACAATACCAATTTCCCTTGCCCCCCACTCCTTTCAACTTTAGAGCTGTTGTTTGTTTATTTATTTTGGTTTGGATTTGGAATTTCGGAATCATACACCTCAATCAATCTCACGTTTTTTTGCTTTCCATGTCAACGATTCAAAAGCTTGAGCTATTTCGAACACATGACTTCCTGTTTTTATATCATCTTAAACACGGTTAAACGATCAATGTGTTGGGAAAATATGCAATACAAACGAGTCCTGTTAAAATTTTTCTCCTTCCATAGTTATGAACAAGTCACACTTTAAACCAATGCAGTAAAGGAAGTATGTGAGAAACAAAACGACATGGAGAGATTTATACCGGTACACCCAAGCATGAGCTACGTTCAGTCTTCTTCGATGTGTGGGTTCTACTATGATTGAGAACAGTACAATGCGCCTCACAACTCTCTACCATCACTCTCTAGATGCTTCAACAATGATCACCTAGCTTCTAAGTACTATAGTAATACATTCTAAGGAATACAAGAATTAAAAACTTCACTAATAGACTCGATAACAGATTGTTGACATGCACTACAACTCGACATCTCAATCTCCTCTATTTTGCCTCGAAACTGTCGTTGTCCAATCTCAATTTTGTGTCACACAAAAATCTAAAATGAAAAAGATAATTTTAATAAATCGTCACAGCGTTGAGACGTTGTCCACGACGTCTCAATGCTACGAACCTTTGCAGCACTAAAAACGCCCTTGTGCCTCTTTTTTATTTTCTCGAATTCGAGATAGCGCTGCAATGCTACTCTCTCGGCAAACAAGGCCTTGCAGCAGCATGCAACCTCTTCATTCTTGCTTCGTTTTGCTTCCATTTTGACAACTCTACATTTCCAATACAATGAACCCAAAAGTTTAAGCCAACGAGTTATGGCAAATTTCAATACGTAATTAATTTCATTCTAATTTCACTTATGTAGGTCTACTTAATAGAGGGATAATTATGTTATTTAACTCCTCCTCCTTCCATATTCACCACTATCACATTTCTATTAATGGTATAATAACTAAACTAAAAGGATCAAATGCATATAAAACTAAAACAAAACTTCATTTTTTTAAACAAATTTCTTTCTATGATTTTGCAAATATTATTGGCTATCGAATCATTACAAATTTAACAATTTTTCTAGCACTAATATAAATTTCTGTGATTATTACAATTTCTATAGATATGTTTGGAAGTAATGATAAAATAAGTGATTTAGAAAAAATAGATTTAAATACAATTAATATTTTAAAACCATTTGTTTAAGTATCGTTGAATTAGGTTGGTTTTAAGATATAAATGTCTTAATTACAAGGATTTCAATATTCCATTTTTACATTGCGAAGCATCTCATTTAATTAAATGTTGACAATTGGTATTGTTATGGTCTCAGTACTTGACTTTTAAAATATTTTAATGTCGCAATTGTCGTGTCGGTTAAGATTTGAGAGAAAAACAACTGTAAACAAGTGAATGATACAAAATAAAAAATGCAATTAAATAAGACACGTGTCGTGGTCTGGGAAAGAAAAAGGGGCCCGATGTTTCTGAAGCAATCAGATCGGACGGTGGATGCGCTGCCGCATCCTGCCAATTCGACGGCGGGGATTAAGCCTTTTAATATGCTATGCTATGCAAGGCTTCCTCCCGTCCCGTGCACGTGAACCTAACCGCCCAATCACGTGCAACTTAATGCGTTTCCACGTGTATTTTCTTGATCTTTAACACAAAAATATTTTAAAAAATATAAATTAAAATTCGAGATATATTTTTTTCTTGGGATGAAAAAGTCTTCATTGCTGTTTTTTTGTATTAAATTAAATTTTAGACTTTAAACTTTCACCCCTTTAATTTTAGAATATATCTTATAAGTTTTTAAAATTTTAAAGTTTACATTTAATACATCCCTAAAATTTTAAAATATTTAATCAGTCTGTTTGTTAAATTTCTGACATATTGGACTATTTTAAAATCAATGAATCTATTAAACATAAAAATCATACTAAATTTTCAATTTTCTATCCAATAAGTCCATAAATTTTTACAATTAGTTCAATGATTTATTAAATACAAAATTGAAACTTCAAAACTAAATTTTAATTAAATATTTTTTTTCTTTTTTCTGTAAAGAATTATTCTTGTTACTAAAACATGTGAAGTCCAATTCTGATTAGCTGGTTCATAAACATCTTTTTCGATGCCAAGAGGAATAAAGTTAAAAGAAAAGATTTGAATTGAAAAGGTATTAGAAATTAATAAAAAAATGACTTTACCAAATAACTACTATATATATAGTTATGGAGTTGGAATAATGTGATTAGAAATTCAACATATCAATTTACGGAGATCTCAAAGAAGAGGTCGAGGCCAACCTCCCGGTTATGAAGACTCTATTCATCCAGACTATTTGTGTAAGCTTTCAAAGGCTCTCTATGGACTCAACTCAAAGAGGCTTTGAAAAATTCAGCACTGCACTACTAACATTAGATAGTAGTTCAGCTGGATCACACCTGAACATAATTATAAATAGGAATTGTTTGTTTAATAGGAATTGTATTTAAATCCATTAAATATTTAACAATTAAGAAAGAGAAATATGCAAATATATATACATATATAGATATATAAATTAAGTATTAAAAAAAAAGTTTCTCTTCGTAGACAAGTTTTTTCAGTCAAAATTTGTCAAGAAAAGTGCTTTTCCCTACAAACCTCTTACCTCGAGAGAAAGACGTTGCTGACGAAATTCTTGTTCCTAAAACATGTGAAGTCCGATTCTCATTAGCTGGTTCATAAACATCTTTTCCGATGCCAAGAAAAAGAAAATTAAAGATAAGATTTGAATTGAAAAGGAATTAGAAATTAATAAAAAAATTTGATTTACCAAATAAGTACTATATTTTGGGGTTGGAATAACGTCATTTAGCAATTCTACGTACCGATTGGAGGTAAGCAAAATTATTTTAAAATTGTATTTCAAATCTATATTGAACAATTATTAAAAATAGATAGATTTTTAATCTGCATCAATCAAACGATTATTAGAAGTAGAGAAATATAAATGACATTGAACAGAACTTTGTTGTAATCAAAATTGAGAGTTCAATAATATAAGTTAAATTTATAATTTAACCTTTTTCCTTTTTAATTTCATCCACTTTAATTAAAGCAACTCTTCTGTATACTGCCAACGAATCCTTTCTCAAATAATTGTAGTATTTTTTTTTTTTGAAAGGGAAATAATTGTAGTTGGACTTTATATCAAAGTTTGACACATCAAGGAAGGGAAAGGAGGACACGATTAATTTGAAGTTAAGAAGTACTTAAAAAAAGAAAAAAAAAAGTTAAGAACACGTCACTCACAATATAATAATTTCATACCGACATGCTATAAATTTTCTAGTCATACTCTAAATAATATAAACCTACTCTCATTTATGGTAAAATTCTTCGTCAAAATTTTTTTTTTTAAGAGTAAATAGAGGGTAGATAAGATTTTAAATATCGATGGTAAGGAAATTGTCGACATTCGATGTCTCTCTTGATTAGAAATATATACAAATTACGACTGAACTAAATTTATGTTGGTAATTTTATATCTATATTAATGATAATATGTATAGATATATATTTTTTATATATTTTATCCATTATTTTTGCGATATCAATAGAAATATTAATTCATGACGATGTCAAATCCATGCCTCTTTTTTTTTTTAAGTGCAAATATTATTAATCTTACAATATTTCCAAGAAACACATGACCCATGGGGCAGTAAATGAGACAAAAATAATTATGATGAAAACGCCTTCTCCCACATGTATGAGAAGCCACAATAAATAAAATAAAATAATTATTACTCAAGAATTTCCAATCTTAAGGTGCATAATCGGTTCTAATATTGTTGAGTATTTGAATGAATTTGATTCATCCCATATGATTAGTAATGCTGACCTACAATTAGGCCTTTTCTTTTTGAGTCCCTTCTTTTTGGGTCTTGGTCAGAAAGATGCAGATAAAATGGCGCGTCTCAATCGTTTAACAAGTAAGAAAGTCATAATAGTCGTAGGTAGTAAGGATGATGGAGCAGAATTTGTTTAAAAACAACCAGTCGTGTAGTAGTACGTAAGACACGAATTAAACTTTACGTATCAATGAAAACGACCTCCAACCTCGACTTTGAATTGAATATACCATGCTACTTAAACATAAAAGAAATCTATTTCAAAAAGAAAAAAGAAAAGTTAAAAGAAATGAAATTTATATATATATATGAGAGTAGAATTAAGGGTTGAAATCCTATTTTAGTATTTAAACTTTAATAGTTAATTTATTTTTAGACCTTTCGCAGTCTCCAAATTTTCATCATTTATTTCGTTTGGATGCCAGTCAAAATTTTGCCTAATATATTTCGTAGAAATCCAAAGGCCACATGTTTTAGAATTATATTAGAAGTTAAACCTAACTCATATCGTGCCGCGTAGTAATTACTCATTATTATAGCTACAGATGGAACGTAACGTATCATAAGAGTGCAATTTTAGATTCATAATTAATAGTAAAATTGGTTAGCTAAAAAATTTTGAGCATTTGAATTAAAGCTTAAAGTTGTAAGTATCTCCTACTAGATAATAATGTTGATCATTTAATTAAATTATTAATAATAAATTAGAGTTATTATTACTTTATTACAAAATTAATCAATTGGACTTTATAAGCTCGTTTCAGTAGGAAAGGGCCCATTGAATTTCGGGATATGACTTGGTGTCTGGATCCATGAAAAAAGTCCATAAATCCAAGCACGTGAGATGAGTCAACTAAGTAATATTATATAAATTAAACAGTAATTTTTAAAATTAATTTTGAGCGAAATGAGTCCATTAAGATAATTTATTTGTGATATATTTGTACTCCAAGATCGTGGAGAAATAAACCCATCAATTTTAGGTCTAAATCTTCTCTTCACGTTTGTCACACTTTGACTCATTTATTTAAGTCTTATGTTAATTTCAATACATAGAATAGTGAATTTGTGGTTGAATGGAGATACCACATTTCTAGTTCAAGCCCCACATGACACAGTTAGAGTCTCCTCGCCTTTCTCGAGTCTATTGCCAAGCGCAGCAGAAGTTTACGCAATCAGAATATTTAATGTCTTACTTTTAATTAAAAATTTGTTTTCGAAATATCAAGAATACTCACGTGTGGGTGTCACAGGATAACTTTTTCTCTCTTTGTGGTGGCAATATGGAGGGGATAGACTATCTCAAATGCTTTTATATGAATCATATTTGTACTTTTATAATAAATTATCCATTAGAATATAACTTAACTAGTTAAGATGCAGACGTAATAATAAATCGATTAGTTAACGAACTTATATTTTTAATTAAAAGTAAATTTCAGTATTCTTTGTTGAACTAAAAAAAGAAAAAGAAACACATTAATAACTTCTCTCTAAATACGTCACTTTAAAATGTACTTCATTTCATGCACTTTTATTTTATTTAGTAGTCTATTCCCTTATGCTTTGTTGTCCAAAATCATCGCTCCTTAATCTACATTAAATAATAGTATATTAAGAGCATAGAAAATTTAAAGATGTAACTAAAATGTTTTGAATTGATTAAATATAGAAATAATTATTAAAGTTTAGAAACTAAATGGGTAATTTAAGAAAATATAAAATATTAAAATGATTTGTAAAGGCACATGGTTGATTGGCCCATAATAGTAATTGATGATTTGGCATGTTACCACAGCCACCAACACATACCATACCAAATGGGCCTCCATTTGTCACAAACAACACACCTTTCTTAATTATTCTATATTAATTAAATTATACACCCAAATAATTTATGATATTATCCAAATCATTATCAACACTCACCCATGCTTTTATCTACATCATACATCAAACTATGGTTAACCAAGAGGTTGTGAGTTCTAATCTTCTCCCCAACATATTGTGTTTAAAAAACACGTTTAACTAGTTAGACACTAATTATTATCTTTTTTTTATTTTATTTTATTATCTTGTATTTGAACGCAACGATATGAAGATCGAAGCATAGTTCAGTATTTTTTAAAATATTACAACTTTTCGTAGGTATAAAGTTTGAATTTTGTTTAAATATGCTTTAACATTAAATTTGAGTTTAAATTTGATTTGAATTATGTTATTTTTGTAAAATTCTAAACTACCTATTCCAAATTAAATTACATAACAAATGAAATAGAAACTTTTACCAACTCATGATTTAAAATTAATAATAACGTTATTTGTTATTATTTTTTAGTACAATAATAACTTCATTTATGATCATTTATATTAAAAAAAATTAAGGAAAAAGACATTTAAAAGAAACAAGAGAAAATATCAATTCTAACCCACTATATGACAAATGAGTATCAATTTCTACCATAAGCTTTCAATTTCATCAAATTTCACTTTTTGTAAATTTTATCTTAAAAGAGTATTGCAATTTTTACCCTCTAATAGATTTTCATTTGAAAATTTGTAGAAAAAGATATTTACATATATGTCAAATGCATTATAAAATACATATTTAGTATGAAATTAATATGCTTTATACAAAAAAGACAATAGATTTTTTTAATTAATATGATTTAGATAAAAATGACTAACACCTACCTAATTTCATATGAAAATTAAAATAAGCTCTCAAACAAGTCATTGTGAAAAAAAAAAAAAAAGGTCATACTTGATAGTTGATAAAATCCCAATTCCGAATCCCAATTCCCCTCGCTTTTACTGATTATTTATAAAGAGAGAGAAGGAGAGAGTTCGACACATTGTTCTTGAATCTTGACCCAACTGGGTGAAGATTAAGAATCAAAGCAAGGAACTTTGCTTGTAAGTTTGTAACCCCTTTTGAGTATGTTATGAGATATGAAAGTTATCTTCCTTGCAAATTCCAAGCTTCCCCTTTGTCCAAATTTGAATTTGTTCAAATCCCATTACCACCAATCTCCAACCTTTCTAAACAGCCTTCTCAATTCTGCAGGCAATTCCAATTCCAGAACCCCAAAACATGCCACTCAAATTCATGCCCAACTCATTGCTTCCGCCTCCCTTTCCCTCCCCTTTCTCTTCAACAACCTCCTCAACTTGTACGCCAAATGTGGCTGTGTCGACCACACCCTGTTGCTCTTCTTCGCTGCCCCACATGACTGTAAGAACGTCGTCTCTTGGACTTCTCTTATTACCCAATTCTCCCGTTCCAGAAGACCCCTTCAGGCCATCACTTTCTTCAACCATATGAGGGGCTCTGGGGTTTATCCCAATCACTACACCTTCTCTGCAGTTTTATCTGCTTGCGCTCACACTATGGCTTCTGTTCACGGGGACCAGATGCATTCTTTGATCTGGAAACACGGCTTCCATTCTGAAGTCTTTGTTGCCAGTGCATTAGTCGACATGTATGCCAAGTGTTGTGATATGTGCGTTGCTGAGAAGGTGTTTGAGGAAATGCCCGTGAGAAACCTTGTTTCTTGGAATGCTATGATTGTGGGGTTCTTGCAGAACAAACTCTATGATCGGGCCATTCTCTTCTTTAAGACGCTTCTACTTGAGAGCCTAACTGCTCCTGATGAAGTCAGTTTCTCCAGTGCCTTGAGTGCTTGTGCCAATGTTGGTAACTCGGAGTTTGGGATACAAGTTCATGGAGTTGCTCTGAAGCTTGGTGTCGGGAATTTGGTTTATGTAAATAACTCGCTGATTGACATGTATAGTAAATGTGGCTTATTTGATGAAGTTGTGAAGTTGTTCTCGAAAATTGGAGTTAGAGATGTTGTTACTTGGAATATAATGATCATGGCATGTGTTTATAATGACAGTTATGAAGATGCCTGCAATAGTTTTTGGATGATGAAGAGGGAAGGTCTAATACCTGATGAAGCATCATACTCCTCCGTTCTTCATTCTTGTGCAAATCTTGCAGCACTACATCAGGGCACAATAATCCATAATCATATCATAAAATCTGGGTATGTGAAGAATTTATGTGTTGCAAGTTCTTTGGTTACAATGTACGCAAAATGTGGCAGTTTGGTAGATGCTTTTCAGATATTTGAAGAGACCGACGATCATAATGTGGTTTGTTGGACCGCCATAATTGCAGCTTGCCAACAACACGGCCATGCTAACCGGGTTGTTGAATTATTTGAGGAAATGTTGGGAAAGGGGATTAAACCCGACTATATTACTTTTGTTTCTGTTCTCTCTGCTTGCAGCCACACTGGTCAGGTCGAAGAAGGATTCTTCTACTTTAATTCAATGGTTAAAGTGCATGGTATTAACCCTGGATATGAACATTATGCTTGCATGGTTGACTTGCTCGGTCGTGCCGGGCAGTTGGATAGAGCTAAGAGGTTTATAGAACTGATGCCTATCAAACCAGATGCCTCGGTTTGGGGTGCTCTACTTAGTGCTTGCAGGAGCCATAGCAACCTTGAAATGGGTAGGGAAGTGGCTATGAAACTTTTTGTTTTGGAACCGGATAATCCGGGAAATTATGTCCTGCTTTGTAACATCTTTACACGTAATGGAATGCTAAATGAGGCTGATGAGGTTAGAAGAAAGATGGAAACCATCGGGGTGCGGAAAGAACCAGGATGTAGTTGGATTGACATTAAGAATTCAACATTTTTATTCACAGTGCATGATAAGTCACATGAGAAAACGCAGGAGATTTATGAGATGTTGGAAAAGCTGAAGGAGTTGGTAAAGAAGAAAGGATATGTGGCTGGGACTGAATTTGCAATAAATATTGCAGAAGCATACAAGGAGCAAAGCTTGTGGTACCATAGTGAGAAACTAGCTCTTGCATTTGGACTGCTGAGTCTTCCTGCTGGGGCTCCAATTAGGATAAAAAAGAATCTGAGAACTTGTGGAGATTGTCATACCGTGATGAAGTTCGCTTCAGAAATTTTTGCCCGAGAGATTATAGTAAGAGATATAAGCAGATTTCACCACTTCACCAATGGCATTTGTTCCTGTAGAGATTACTGGTGATTGATTTCTCATCATCCTAAAAGAAGCTGCAAGTTTTCTTAGATAAGTACCACTCTGTGTTGCAGTGCAGGTGAATCAATCAAGAGTGGAATTTTGACCAGTTTTGCCGAAATTTGAGTGGAGGTAGATCTTGATGATCCACTGTACACCCTTGGAAGCTAATTAAGCTAAGACTAGCTCAAGAAGCATGTACAACTATTTTAGATCATTGGGATTATACAGTTCTTGTGGTGCTTTGAACAGCTGAAGGGCCAAATATTTCTTCAATAATCTCATTCTTTTTGCTCCCTTTCCTAATAATGTCCTTTCTTTTAACTCTTTAAATATCTTATATTTCGACTCACTACTGCAACCCATTTCAGAAATGCCTTTCTTCTCTTTGTTCGTCTTACACTTGGAAATATGGCTCTCTTCCATTTCACCTTCTTTCTATATGTGTTGGCAGGTGGAAAATCAATAGTTGCTTTATCTTGGCTTGTTTTTCCTAGTATTGTTAAGAGTACTTTTTAATATGTTAATGATAAGATTAGCAACTTATAATCAATAGACCGGTAAAATGTCAGTAGGCTTTGCAGGCAATTATGCCATACTTAAATTTCATTCTATGTATCGGCATTGCCTGTACGAGTTGCATCTCAGTTAATTTCATGGCATACAACTAACATTGCCTTGGAATTTACCAAAAACGTGTCAACTAATTATAAAAACTCCACGGAAGGACAGAAGAAAGTACCTAACAAAACCCACAATTTTTCTGACAGTGTACGCTCCATGGCACAATAATAAACTTAACATTACAACTATAACAACTATCCAAAAAATCCTCACAACCACATCTTCTGATAATTACTAAAACAAACAAATCACCAACAAATGATAAATACAAAGAAAAAAAATGTATACGTACAGTATCAAGTATAGCATCAACTGAAACCTTCTTCTATCTATACACTCTTTTTTGAATAAGAAACAAACCAAGAGAAATCAAATAATACTGACGCAACAACTGTGAACCAGCTGTGTGTCCAAACAATAAGGGTAATGCGGCATTTGGTGTGAACTAATCAGTGTTTATCAATTCCATACCATCACTTAACTTTAATGTCATCCCTTGCTTCAGAGGTAAGGGTTTTTGAGCTGGGCGACTTCCCAATGATAGCTTTCTTTGCCTTCACCAGTGACTGTTTTACTTTCGATAAAATATTGTGTGAATGCTTATGACTAGGCTTCGATGGAACTTCTTTCTTGTCACTCACTTTTGGAACTTCTCCTCCTGTAATCACAGTTTCTTTATCCTTTACTTCCAACTCAGATTCCTGGAGTTCTTTAGTTGTTTCATTTACATGTTCAGCATTGCCAGTTTCAACCAATCCTGGTTTTTCATCTTTAGTACTGTCCTCTATCTTGGTTTCTGCAATCCGATCAACTACTTCACCAGTTTTTTGGTCATCAGTTGACTTATCTGCTTCCACAGTGTCAGTTTCAGAATCTCTAGGAGCCACCTCTTCTCTTGGCAGAGTTAATTCCTGTATTTTCTCATGTGTAACTTCATCTTCTTTGTCAGTTTCCACTACTTTTTCAGCATTTTCTTTTCCCACCTTTTCCACAGCTGGTGCTTCCCCTTCTGATAATTTTGCAACCACATTGATATTTTTCGATTCCTTCTTTTCATCTTCTTTCACCTCATGGGGAGAATTCCCTGCAGCTGATTCTACACTAGGTTGAGCCCCCTGACCGAGCAAATCTTGTCTGTCACTTTCCACTGTGCATTGCTTCTCTTCTTTGTGGATTTGTCCTACTTTCAAAGGTGGCACAATGTCATCACCAAGAGCCAATGACTTCTCACCTTCACCCTTCACAACTACCTCAGTTTCAACCTCCACATCATCATTCCGAACTTGATTGGTTATTTCAGGCAATTCTTCCTTACCATCCTTTACTTCGGTAACTTCAGGTTCTCCTTTTTCAAATTCTTCTGAATCCAATTTGGAACCACTGATTTCTTTTGCTCTCACTCCCTCAGATTCTGTCACAGGAAAACCTTCATTCATCTGCTCTGTGGTCTTGGGAGGTACAGAGAACTCACTAATCTCTTTTGCTATAACTTCTCCAAATTCTTTCTCGGGTGGAATTTCATTTGGCTGCTCCTTGTTCTTGGGAGGTTCATTGGATTCACTAGTGTCTTCCACTACGACTTCTAATTCTTTCACTGGTTGAACTTCAATTAGCAACTCATTTTGCTTGGGAATTTCTACAGATTCACTGCTCTGTCCTGCCATCACTTCCTTTGATTCTTGCACTGGCTGTACTTCAGCTGCATGTTCCTTTTCCTTAGGAAGTTCTTTGGGTTCAGTAATTTCTTTTTCCACCACATCTCTTGATCCGTTTAGTGGATGAACTTCAATGGGCTGCTCCTTTTCTGTAGGCAGTTCAATTGATTCAATATATTTTTCTTCAATCACATCTTCTTGTTCAACTGGAGGAATCTCAATCAATTGCTCTTCCTTCTTGGGAGGTTCAACTGACAATTCTGGAACACAAGTTGTCTCTGGTTCCTCCCTTGGCTCTTTGTCTACACTGACAAATTCTTCAGCCAGTTGTTCCTTTTCCAAGCCCGTACCAAAGTTTTCTATAGGGCCAGATTTAGCCATCTGACCCTCTGTAACTTGTTTGTCACTGTCTGCTGCGCACGGCACCTCTTCTTCCTGGGGTTTTCCTCCTTCACTAGGTGGGTTGATGTCATCTCCAAGAGTCAATGCCTTCTCATGTTTCACAGTTTCAACTTCCACGTAAGTTTCTTGAACGTGTTTGGTTATTTCAGGTAATTCTCCCATACCATCCGTTACTTCAATGACTTCAGGTTCTTGTTTCAGAAGTCCTTTCGAACCCAACGTAGAATCACTGGTCTCTTTTCCATTCACTTCTCCAGATTTTGTCACTGGAAAACCTTCATCTACCTGATCCTTGTTCTTGGGAGGTTCAAAGGATGCATTGACCTCTCTTGCTATAACTTCTAATGATTCTTTCTGGGAAAGAACTTCATCTGCCTGCTCCTTATTCTTGGGAGGTTCAAAAGATTCTCTAGTGTCTTCCACTGTGACTTCTAATTCTTTCACTGGACGAACTTCAGTCTGTTCTTTTTCCTTAGGAAGTCCTGCGGGTTCAGTAATTTCTTTTTCCTTCACTTCTCTCAATTCTTGTAGTGGGAGAACTTCAATGGGCTGCTCCTTTTCTGTTGAAGGATCAACTGTTTCAATAATTTCTTTTTCAACCACTTCTAATTGTTCTTCTACAGGAAGAACCTCAATTGGCGAATCTTCTTTCTTGGGAGGTTCAACGGACAAGTTTGGAACAGGAGTTGTCTTCAGTTCCTCCCTCGGCTCTTTGCCCAGACTGATATCTTCTTCAGCTGGTTGCTCCTTTTCTAGGCCCTTATCAGAATCTGCCACTGGAAAATCTTCATCTGCTTGCTCGTTGTTCTTGGGAAGGTCAAAGGATGCACTAACCTCTTTTGCTATGACTTCTACTAATTCTTTCTGAGAAAGAACTTCATCCAGCTGCTCTTTTTTCTCGAGAAGTTCAATGGATTCACTTGCTATCACTACTGGCTGCTCCTTTTCTGTCAGAGATTGAACCGTTTCTATAACTTCTTTTGCAACCACCTCTTCCGGTTCTTTTACTTGAACAATCTCAACTGGTTGTGCTTGGTTCTTTGGAGGTTCCATGGATTCTTCTGGAACATAAGTTGTCCTCCCTGGTTCCCCATTTGTCTCTTTCTCCACATTGACAAACTCTGTAGCCGGTTGATCCTTTTCTAGGTCCTTACCGGAGTCTTCTATAGGACCAGATTTAGCCACCTCACCTACTGAATCTTGTTTATCACTTTCTTCTGTGTGTTGTGCCTCTTCTTTCTGGATATTTCCTTCTTCAATTGGTGGGCTATAGTCATTGCGAGGAGTCAATGCGTTCTCATCTTTCATGGTTTCAGCCTCCACATAAGTGTCTTGAACATGTTTGGTTATTTCAGGTAACTCTTCTATGCCATCCTTTACTACAATGACCTCGTGTACTTGTTTCTCAACTTCTTCAGAACCCAATGTGGAAGCACTGGTCTCTTTTTCCTTCACTTCTTCAGATTCTGTCACTGAAAAGTCTTCATCTACTTGTTCCTTGTTCTTAGGAGGTTCAAAGGATGCAGTAACCTCTTTTGCTATGACTTCTACTGATTCTTTCTGGGAAAGAACTTCATCTGGGCTCTCCTCATTCTTGAGTGGTTCAGTGGATTCACTTGTCTCTTTTGCTATCACTGCTTGTTCTTTTGCTAGATGAACTTCAACTAGCAATTCATTTTCCTTGGGAACTTCAACAGTTTCACTAATCCCTGTTTCTACCACTTCTCTTGATTCTTGCTGTGGATCAACTACAGATGCCTGCTCCTTTTCCTTGGGAACTTCTACAGGTTCGCTAATTTCTTTTACTATCACTTCGTCCAATCCTTTAATTGAATGAACTTCAACTGGATGCTCCTTTTCTGCCGGAGGTTCAACTGTTTCAATAATTTCTTTTTCAACATCCTCTACTGGTTCTTTCACCGGAACGACCTCAATGGGCTGAGCTTCTTTCTGTGGAGGTTCAACAGGTTTTTCTGGAACAGAAATCTCTGGTTCCTTGTTTGGCTCTTTCTCTAGACTGACAAATTCTGTAGCCGGCTTCTCCTCTGCCTCTACTGGGCCCTCACCAGAGTCTGCCGCAACTGATAATTCTGGATTATCGTCAATCTTTGGCTTCTTATCTTCTACTTCCTCGACAGGCTCAGGTACAATTTCCACTTTTTCTGGAACTTTTGCAAATTGTACAAACACAGCCGGTTTCTCTTTTTCTTGGCTGCCAACAGTATCACCTGATGACTCAACTTCTACTTTTGGAAGGCCCACAGCGTCTGATGTTTGCTCTTCTACTTTTTTTGCAGATGCAGTAGCAGCTGGTACCTCCAGAGACTCTCTTTTCGTGACTTCTGCAGTTGGCTGCTCTTCTGGTGGGCTCTTTACATTGTCACTTGCATCAAACTCCTCCTGTATACTCTTCTCCAAGAACGCAATTACTGGCAGCTCAGTTGCCTCGGAGACCGGTTCAGTTGATTGGCTCTCCCTGTGTTGCGTCTCATCGGCGACAGTGGCAGTAGCCCCTACCTCTGCTACAATAGTAGATTCTTTTTCCAACTTGACATTATCATGAACTGGAAGATCCAATTCAGGGGTTTCATCTGTTTTTTTGACCTCAATAACAGGAGGCTCAACCTGGATATCCTCTGCCTTGTCTTCCGACGTGGACAAAGTAGTACTATCTGGAATATGTAAGTTGTCTGCTTTGCCTTTCTCTCTGTCGTCTTCTACACTTTCTTGTGGTGAAGAGAGATTTATCTGTTCCCTTCCTTTTACTGCTTCACTACTTAACTTCACCGTTTGCTACAGTACAAATATGAAACAATAAATTCAAAGAACCCAGAAAATATGTGACAGAATGACATGCTCTATCAACTCTGATCTACTCTCTCAAGATGTAAATAAAGATATCTTAGATGTAAATTAGGGAATTCAGTAAAGGACTCAAAATAATTAATGAAGTAAGCTATAGATAAGATAACTTTATAGCAGGAAAATTAAGTTACTAATTAACAAATATCTGTGTGGGTTCTGCATGCAATATTGGGTTCAGAGAATTTATACGGCTGCATGCCAGTCAATAGTTACATGCAAATTAACTCACAAAGAAGGGTGTATAAACTGCAAAACAATAAGTGGGTGCTGATCAAGAATCTAAAAACATGAACAAACGTTCTCCACATCCAGTAGTAATAATCATACAAGAGACAAGAGAGTGATGAGAAAACATGTAATAAAAATTAAGAAGGGTGGAGAAACTTAAGTAGTAGTGAAGTGGAAGTAAGAACTGATTTGAAGGAAACTCACCTCATCGGATGTAGAAGTTTGATGGGAATCAACAGTTTGGGTGGCCATAATGATTGTGGATTGAGGAACAAAGTGGCAATTCCCAGTAGTTAAGAAATTGAAATGGAAAAAAAAAAGATGAAGAAATTAAGGAAAGGAATGATGCGGTTGGCAACAACTCAGAAAAGCTTAATTAGCCTACTACTACACTACATGGAAGAACCACCCCACTTGAGGGAAAAATTTTAGAAAAGGAAAAGAAAAAACAGTCTGTCAATGACAGACTTTTCCCACATGATCTGAGATGGCATGATTGAGGAGGAAGATGATGATGATGATTCCTTTAGTTTTTATCTAAAAGAAAAGAAAAGAAAAGGAAATCAAAGAGGGTGGGGGTGGAGAGATAAAAGTTATGATAATTAGCATTGGCAAAGTGACAAAACACCAAAAGCAACTGGGTCCCAGTTCTCGTGGATTATTTTTCATGGTTGGAATTGTTTTGGCCTTCTATGTCATATTCATTCATTAGTCCATGTTACGTCTGGGATGGCATCAAATAGATCAGATTGGAGCCATTACCCATTTGATTTTTTTTGCTTTTAAATGCTGCCTTTTAACATCAGATGACTTGGACATTCATCATTAATGCTTCCAAACCACACTTATTTTTGTGCTTTCTGTTTGCTGTTGCATGCTTGTCTTTGATTCTATTTGTGTTGGCCAAAAAAAAAAAAAAAGTTAACTTTTTTGTATGATTTGAAAAACTTGATTAGGTTTAAGGAACTCTCAAACTCAAAACTCAATTATCATCTTCTCCACCAGAATACAATAGCTTTAGGCAGCTGAAGAAAGATAAAGAAGGAGCCTCAGCCATGGCCTGCAAGCTTTGAAGCCCACTCCCACCAGGTACAAAAATGTCTAGTGTTGTTGGGCCTGGCCTGTTTTCCTACCAATAAAAGGCCTCTCTCATAATTCAATCCCTCCAATCTTGATGACAAATGGACAACTAAAAAACTTAAAAAGAGCAGCCCAACTTTAAAACATCACAGCAGAGCAGAGCATATCAGATCAGATCACCCTTTTTTTCTTTTTTCTTCTGCATAGCTGGTCTGGAAGACCCAAATGTGGATGAAATTAAGTGTTCAATATAACTACAGCTCTTGCTGAATTATCAAGTTAAAGGGTCAACTCTTAAAAATGGCAGCTGGAGTTCAGAGTGATGGGTGAAGTGATGGGTGGTGAGGCAGAAAGAAGAGGGATTAAGGGTTAAGAAGAATAATAATGTGTGGATTGGAAAGAGAAGCACATGTAATTGGGCCAGTTGAACTGGATTGGATTGGATTGGATATTTACTAAATACAAGTGTCTGTCCTTTCTTTGTTCAATGTTCTCCTTTAGTGAATTTGATTAGACAACCTTAATCAAAATCTGTTTTAAGAATGCTTCTTTTCAGTGCTGGACACAAAGTTATATCATCACATTCACATTGATTGAGAGGACTTGGATTTTCTTCCAAGGGCTTTCTTCTGATTAGAATCTCAATATACTGGCTTTGGACCATAAAACTCTCAGCCAAACAAAAGTAATGATTGTAGAAGAGGGAAAGAAAGTTGATTATCATTTCCCACTAGAAAGCAAAAGCAAGAGAAATAATGTAATTATTCAAAGATGGGGTATGAAAGGGAGCTATTTCAACCAAGTAGCTTTTTGATAATTGATGATGATGATGGGGTTAAATGCCTTTTTTAGGACTTCTTATTATGTTGCCTTCTTATCAAAGTCATTCTTCTATGCAACTTGGTCCTTTTTTTCTTCTTTTCAACTTTGTGAAAAGTTAAAATCTTATTTTGCCAATTCACTATCTTTAGATTTTGGGAGAGTAGCAAAAACACAAACGAAACTACTAAGTTTATATAAGATTTAAATAACTAATAATTCTCCAAACTAATTAAAACTTCAATAATTGATGCAAAAACAACTCGAAATAACTGCGTATATAGTTGGGTGTGTTAATTTCAATGTTATCAAACCACATCTACTCATGCTTTACCATTTATTCAAATATATTATTTCATTTTAAAACGGTATTCAAGGTAAAAAAAAACACAGAACAGTAATGATTGTTATTGAGATATTAATTTTCCATATATAGTAAGCAAGACGAGCAATGTTTTGTGTCATGATTACATATTGAAGTGACAAGTTTTATTAATATTAATTGTGATTTAGGAGATTCCATGTGCCAAATGAGTTAGACAAACACATTAGGGTCATTTCAAAGGCAAAGGATTGTGAATCCTACCAGATTCAGCTGTCTAGGCAAAGCAATGTGAAGTGTTTCCCACAGCAACAGTACAATTTCCATGTAACATTTCTTACTCCCATACTATAAAGTTGGTCTCTATACTAATTTAGTGCCCAATATCCCTATCCAATATCTTTTGAGAAATGACACTTTCCCATACCCATTAAAAAAAAATCTTTTTTGCTTTTCTTGGGTTGCATGTAATTCTAGAACCATCTTTGGGTATTCTATAGTTTGATTATAGTAGTAATAAATTTATGTACTTGAAAGTATATATATGACATTTAAAAATATCGAAATTCGGTTGGAGAGAATTTAATGATATTGAGAGTAACATATGTCAGTGTACATACGCTATTTTTAATTTATTTTATGCTTTCAAATATCGAAAGTGAGAAGAAAATTGAAATGTAACTTTGATGGACACTAAAATTGTGTTATTATACATCAATCAACCTCATTGAAAGAAACTAGGTGGAGATGTCATTTTAAAATAATTTCGATGGTAATGGGTTTGATAGGATATATGACAACCACATCATGCAGTCTAACATGACATTCTACTTTATATGGTTCAGCATTTTTAGAAATGTAAATAGTAAATAGAAACGGAAATTAATGGTTTATACTTCGATCGGACAATGATTTAAAATATCTTTAATTTTGAAGGGGAGGAATAGTGGTTTTTTTCCTTGAAAGTTTTTGATTTTTTAAAATTAAACTCTGAATGATGAAATGAATATCCACCTAAACAAAATTACCAATAAATTAGTTAGAATTTAGATAACAAGACACTAAAAATACAACCAAAGGAACACCAAAACAGACATAGTTATAGAAACAATGAATCTGAGCCACAAAATCAAACAGCTAAAAAGATTCCCAACCCAATATTAAAATATCCAAGCCCAACCAAAATGAATACTCAACACAGCTACAAAATCCAAAAACCAAAATTAGAAATGCTCACATCAACCCACAAAGAATACTCCAACCTAGCAACAAATTTCAAATTGTACTAATTTTTTTAAATGTCAAATCAATGAATAAAATGTAAATAAGATAAAGTTTTTGGTTAGCTTTTAGGCTTATTTATTTAACATGAAAAGAATATGGGGAAAACAACACCTTGTAATCATTGGGAAAATGAGAATGAGGTGGAGTTAACAAAAGAGGGATAATTAAGGTAATAAAAAGAAAGAAAAAGGTTATTTGGTTTCTGTTGTCAATTAGTTGTCTGCTTCAGAATTAGCTTAGGAAAAGACTGGTTAGAGTTGGAAGATAATGCAAAGAAAAGAAAAGAGGTCTCTCCATTTTTCAAGGGATATGGATTATGTCTCCCTCCATTTTCTCTCTCTTCATTTCCTCTCTAATACTCCACATCAACTCAACCCCTACAAATACAATGCCCCTTCTTCTTTTTCTTTTCTTAATCATGTTTTTCTACTCCCTGGCGGTTTGAAAAATAGTTATCCAAACATGTTTTTACAGACCAGACTAAACCAACAACTTTATTTTATAGAGGTTGAGTGTAACGTCTTACTAGAATGAATCGATGTCACATCCGAATGAGAGGGATCCTAAGATCATAGAAAATATGGTTAAGAAAGTTTAAAAGAAATTATAGTTACTACCTATATTAACAAGATGCACATTTCTTTTCGATAACTCAATCGTAAACGTGCTTGACCTGAAGCAATCTTCGGCCGGGTGACGGGGGATGCTGGGAAAAGGAGATGCTAAATCCAGATTCCGAATCCTGATCCAAATCCTGGRCTCGGGGCGTTACATCGAAGAATAGTATAGATTAGATTGATGATGCTACGTATGATTGAAATGGAAATTATGAAGGATAAGGAATCCACAACTTTTGTGTATTACCTAAACATATAATATATATATTTATATTATATATATGCAATTGATTCTTTTCATTACCCAAATCACTCCCAACCCCTTGTCTGCCCATTAATATCAACTCTGTTCAAAGGGCCCTCCCCTCCCTTTTGATTCACTCTTTCTCCTCACTCCACCATTTTCTCTTATGCTCTTCAACTAAAAAAAAGTCCCATCCAAAGCTCGGAACGATATCGTCCCACCAGAAGTTAATACTCGAGCCAACACGTGAAGAGAAGGAGCATCAAAAGAAACCTTATTTAGTAGCATATAGAACTGTTAGCCATATTGTTCCAACGCCCTTTCAAATAATTTGTTGGCAGCGTAAGAGATTAAAGAGGGTGATATGTTACATAATTGAGGAGAGGGATTTATAATAAAAAATGAAAGGGGATTGAAGGATATGGAGTGAACATGGAGGGAGGGGGAGAAATGGGTTGACTTGGCAAAGAGAACAGCTCACTTTTTTTGGCTGTTCTAAAAGAAGATATTGAGAGCATCTTCTGCTCGATTCTTCTTATTAATTTCAAACTTAAATTAATTATCCAATACCAATACCATGGTCTCCTATTCTATTCAATTAATTTAATTTACTATCAGACAGCCCATTCCCCATATATATAAATTCTAACTCTTTGGTGCTTTGTTTATTTATGTACCAATCATTAAGTAGAAGACTGTTTCAGCCTTCTGCACATGCCCCTCTCCCCTCTGCTTAATTACAAAAATTAAACACATTTCTTTTTGGAACCAATGCAATGCAATGCATATTATTTCTTTAATCCTAATTGTTAATTAACATGCATCTTTAATTTTTGTTTACTTCTCAGTTAATTAGTTAGCTGGCTGTTGTTTAAAATCAGACAGATATGAAATGACTTGATTGGCTTGGAGGAGCATATTCCAAATCCCAAATTGACAGTTTTCACTCACTTAATTCAGTGCAAAACAACAGTACAGCTACAGCTAGAGGGGGGAAGATAATATTTTTTTTTCCTCTCTATTTTGTTTTTGGTCTTTATTTTTTAAATTAGGCTGGTAAACGTACTTTTATTCTATGTATTTTTTCATTTTACTACCTTTCTCTTAAAAACGTTCTCTCAAATTTTGAAAACTACTTATTTTGTTTTTGTTTCTGAATTTGGATAAGACTACAAATATACTCTTACGAGAGGTGAAAAGCAAAGTGGCTTGAGACCTCAAAGAATATCTTTGAAGTCTTGGATTCAAGTCACATAAAACGAGACACCAGTCAGGCGATGATTTCTTGCATATGTACGAGTATATGGGGACAATACGGTGAAACCAACAGAAAATTCTCTTTCTTTTTTCTTCATTTTTAAAAAGAAAGGTCAAAAGAGTTGTAAAAATAAATAACCATATTACCTACTGCAAGTACTCACAGTGTTTCTGTTTTGTCCCTATGGAAGAAGTCTATGGTGGTAGTTTCATGGCTGCGGTCAAACTCAAAAAATAAAAAATCATCCAACACACCATAAAATCATAATAATACACAGGTAGGACCTACTAATTAATTGAAATGCAAAGGTGTTAAAAGCGCAGTGTGACGGGTACTTTATCATATAGACGACGTTAGAAATGCATTTTAACGGTCATGAGGGTGAGAGCCAGAGTCGGTTCAACCTGAATTAACTTTTTCCTAAATGGGGATGAATTTGAGTAAGAAGGAAGATGTTTAATCAGGTGTAACGAGGGTGAGGACGGAAAATATAGAATAGAGAGGGTGGCAGTGGGTGTTAAATAATTCATGGGATGGGGAGGGGAAATTTTTGTCTTGTTTCAGGATTAAGAAATGTAATAAGGAGCTAAAAGTATACCAAAGACAAGTATGAATGTGTATTATTATATTGGTGTCAATGTCATATATGTTCCATAATGAGCAGCTAGTTTACTTGTTTTGTTATTTGGTTGTAGGCCATCTCTCCCCAATTTCAATTAATTTTTTTCTATAATTCATTCATTGGATAGTGTGGTGGGCTTGCTTCTTCATCACAGGAATTTCCATAAATTTTACTCAACAAAGGAGATGAGCAATTCAGTTTTGAACACCCAATTGGATCAAAGTAAACAAAAACAATAACTATTTAACTTTTAATTCCTATATTTACTACTCCTACCCCTTCAAACTCTTCTCTCTCTTTTGGGATTTTGGAATCTAGCCTTCTACATTTGGCCTCTTTATATCTTCTCATTTACACTCACCTACCTTCATCTTCTTCCCTTTGGTTGGTAAAGAATCCAATTCTACTTCACAACTTTTTAACCTATAAGAAAAGAAAGTTAAATTATAAGGTTGGTCGGTGGCCCTTAATAAGTCTTATTCAACCTTCAAAGTTGATCAGACTTCTTTGAGTTTTCAATTTCGTGTTTAATCGGTAACTTCATTTGTTTAACGTTCATGCTACCAAATGTCTACAATTATCCAAAGTCATCCCGCCAAATAATAATGTTAGTATTAGCGAGGAGTCTATTAGATAGAAAATTGAAACTTCAAATGCTTACCAAAAACATTTTGAAGTATATACGAAGTAGATAGACATATTCGACAGGTTTAGAGACATATTATAATTTTTTTAAAAGTACAGAGACTAAATAAATAAACGGTAGTTACTTAACGATGCATTTGAATCATTTCTTAAACTTCGATACGCATGATACTGTTGGTGTTTTGAAACTGAGGGATGAAACTGAAAGTAAATAAAATGTGTATTTTTATTTGCTTAAAGTTGAAAAAGAGCAAAGAGAGAGAGAGAGAGATAGAGGGCGTCGGTGCATGGGAAATACTGAGAGAAAAAAACTGAGAGGAGTGATGAGACATATATACAAGTCAAAATTGTTTTAAGTTGATCCTGGCCGTCCAAGGAGGAGGCCAGGGTGAGGTGGCAGGTCCTGAGACAACCAAAAAATGGCTCAATCTTAAAAAAGGTGACTTCTCAATCTCTCTGTGCACTGCAGTCTGGCCTATTAAATTCAGAATCCCTACCACTTCCCTTTCTTAAGTTCCTTATCATCCTCTCTTTCTCTTTCTCTTTCGCCATCTTCCATTTCATTTTCAATCAAAAACTCCTCTTTCTCTTGTTCCTGTTCCTGACAATTCTTGTAGCTTACACTTTTTCCCCCACCTTTTTTAATTTTCTCTCTCTCTTTCCATTGACACCATTTCTGTGTCTCAACTCAATTTGGTTTCATCCACATGGGAAGGCACTCTTGCTGTTATAAGCAGAAGCTGAGGAAAGGGCTGTGGTCTCCAGATGAAGATGAAAAACTCCTCAATTATATCACCAAGCATGGCCATGGCTGTTGGAGCTCTGTCCCTAAACTCGCAGGTACTTTACTTTACATCTTTCTCCGATTTCCCATTTCCCTCAACAATGTGCCTAAATCATCATCTCTCTGTTCTTCCACAGGGCTGCAAAGATGTGGAAAAAGCTGCCGCCTCAGATGGATCAATTATCTGAGGCCTGATCTCAAAAGGGGACCTTTCTCCCAGCAGGAAGAGGACTTGATCATTGAGCTCCATGCAGTCCTAGGCAACAGGTTTGTTTTGCTTTTTAGGCAGGCCCCATCTTCAATTATGTATGCTATCTGAAGCTGAAGCTGAAGCTAAAAGCTCTGTTTTGGGTTTTGGTTATTATGATGCACAGATGGTCTCAGATTGCTGCTCAGCTTCCGGGGAGAACTGACAATGAAATAAAGAACTTGTGGAATTCGTGCATTAAGAAGAAACTAAGGCAAAAAGGGATCGACCCCAACACCCATAAGCCTGTGGCAGAAGTTGACAATGAGAGCGAGAAGTTGGCCACCACTTCCCACAGCTCTGAAGAGGCCACCATTACCAATGCCACTGATCAAACACCATTCTTCCCAATCGACCCTTCAATTCCCAATTCCATGCCATCTCAACAACAACTCTACTCATCTGATCATCATTCCAACATCACCAATTCAGTGCCGCCGCCGCCATTGACTCAGGAGTTTTTCCTGGCCAGATTTGGGACATCATCCCACGACACCACCTCCTCAAACAGAGCTTCTGAATTGGTCGAATATCTGTCATTTCAGCAGCTCAATTATGGGTCGGAATTGGCAACTCAGAACCCAAATCCCAATTCAACCCCCACTTCTCTCTGCTTCAACCAAAACCCCAATTCGAATTTGATTCTGCCACCCACCCCCTTGAAATCCTCCTCCTCCTCCTCCTCCTCCATAAGGCATCTTGCCGATCGCAATCATTCCGCCGCCAGTTGCGACATCAACTGGGAAGGAACCACTTTCAGCACCAACACGACCGGAAGCAGCTTCGATTACCAAAGAGGCGGCGGCGGCGGCGGCGGTAACAACAACTTCTTCGACGGCAGTAACTTCACGTGGGGGCTGCCGGATTGCGTGGCCAATCCATATATGATAGCGAACGCGGCGGCGGCGGTACAGAATGAAGCATCTCAATCTGTGTACGTAGAGAACATGGGCGGGGCGGCGGCGGAAACAGGGTTCATAACAGAGGGCGGGCAACAAGCATCATCCGATGCTGTATATAACAAACACCTTCATACTCTCACTGTTTCTTTCGGACACACCCTTTAATTCTTTTTCCAAACACCATTCAAGTAAATGAGTTTTCTTTCTTTTTTCCCCTTTTTGGTTTCTGGGTATATTACATTATGTTAGATTTGTGTGCAGTGATAGTACAAGATAGGATTTTTTTCTCTTTTTTTTTCTCGTTCATCTCGTACTGTAAATTTGGTGCTTCAAAAACAAGAAGAAGAAGAAGAAGAAGAAGAAGAAGAAGAAGAATTGAAAACCAAGTTGTGTAGTGTTGCAGAGAGTGGAGAATGAGAGGTGAGATCAGAGTATTTTAAAGTTTTCATGAATGAATCGACGAATGATAGAGTGGGAGAAGAGTAAGAATGGATCAAAATTCAAATAAATGTCAGAAGATGTTGTGGTTTTATATATCCAGATTGTTTTGTTAATATATGGTTGATCCAATTGTGTTGTGTTTTGAGTTTCTTTTGTAAAATTACAGCACACCCACACAAGAATTCAACCTATATCCCAATGGTCAACACAATACAACAAATGTGAGAATGAAGAGAAGAGAGGAGAGGAGATGGGAATTTAAATGAAACAAAAGAAAGCCCCCTTTTTTCTCCTTTCTTTTATTGCAAAAATAAAGGACATTATATCATATTATATTCTTGCTGGGTCACAATTTGCCACTTGGATTGGAAAGCTACGAATTAAACTGCTACAACCCCCCTTTATGAACTTAAACACTCAACATATTAAATCAATGATAATGTTACTATTGCCTACTTGGTGTTATTTCAACAAAAGAGTAAGATCATCCAATTTGTACTCATTTTGAATGATGTTATCGGGAGCTCGGAAAAAGTACTCTCTGCAATGGTATGATATTAATTGTCTTTTCTTATATACTATGGATCACTCTCTTCCCTATCTAATGTAGGATCTTGTTTGTACTTTTTTACAAACCGAACAGTGTAAATATGTGCATGTGCAGGCACAAATAAGAGAGACATAAAAAAAGGAAAAATGATGGAGGAGAAAAAGGTAGAGGAGAGTTTTGGGAATATGTATTAGGTAAGTGATTTTTATTTGGGAGAAGCATGTGCGCCCAAATTATTTAGGAAGGGGAAGCGCCAATGGCCAATGCATACTTTGTCAATATTCTCTTGCTTTCTTCATTGTTTATTATGATGAATTAGGGAATTGGAAGAATTAATAATCAGATTGCAGAGGTGCAAAGAATCAACTTAGTTTAAGTTGTTGTTCCTAAAATATCTAATCATTTAACCATCATTAATCGGTCGGCTTCTTCACATATTATATTATTCTTCCAATTACAATGATCACTTCTCTCTAATGTCTTCGCTCTTAATTCTATTATTCATTAAATAATTACAACACACACATATTATATATATACAATAATTTACTTTTATCATTTTGGTAATATATTTTGACTTAGAAGGAATCCAATGGAATCGATGTTTGTTGGGAGAAGTCGACCAAAACCATGCTATGTGGAAGAAAGGCCGGTATCCGTGATCTCACTCCGAAGGGTCGGGAGAGAACGATTTGGAAGAGACGACCCGAAGAAAAGCTATGGTTGGAAGCCTTCTGATCACACGACGTCCCAGGTTGGAACAACCAGCGGTTAGATGTAAATGTCCCCCACTACCAGTTTGGTACACCTACTCTCCAACTGCTTGTCAGAGGTCTACATAATTCACAAACTTATAAATAAGAGATTGTGCCCCAACATCAGGTATGTACTCTAGCTCGACCTCTCACTAAGTCAAACCCAAGATTAATTGAGCATCAGAGTGTCGATTCCTCTTGTGTAGGTATTCTTGCGCCATACGATAGAAGACACCGCCCGACCCTGAAGATCTTGCTAACGACCGATCTGAGACCAAGTTGGACCGTGACCCACTTTGTTGCACAAACAATGTTGAATAAATATTGGTTTATATCCTTTGAAAATTTGATATGTCGTGGATCTTAAGTTGTACATTAGAGAGAGAAAATAAAATGTAAAAAGTAATGCGAAGAAAAAAAGATTTCACTATTACACATTATCTTTGACTATTATTGTTGTGTCGTTCGAGACACTAGAATATAGTGTGTGATGTAAAAAAAAGTATTCAAATGCATTTCATATTCTTTGACATTTGTTATAGGTGGGACTCGCCAATACACGTGGACGAATCCCCCAACTAACACAGGGTATTTCAGATGGTCCTTTTAACGTTTGGAGCAGAGCATGCCTAGTAGGAAAGCTGCTGACATTCGGCAAACATCCCATCTTGCGATGCCAACGAATCTTGGAAGTCGGCGCAGAATCCTGCTCCAGACGTACTAGAGCCACAACACCTTTGTTAAGGTATGCAATTTCTTGCACCAACCCTTAAGCTCTCCTACTATTTCACCCTTACATAAGTTTTGAAATGCATTATAAGGTAGAGCACTAACACCAGTGTTGAGTTGCAAGCGTGTACGATCGAGAATGCTGCTGCATACGTCAGTTTCGTTTCAGCATCGATAATATTAATTATTTGCTACCATCTCAGACAGAACAAAATGAAAGAGGGACTATATAATCTAGCTAGCTAGGTTGTCAAAAAAATTAAAGTAGCTTTAATTATTTTTGTATGAAGGAATTGCAAAAACACTTGCATCAGGATGCTATAATTGAATGTCGTCTATGTACATTTGCCAACATCTATCAAATTTTGTGGGATCTTGTTTTGGTTAAGTTTGATTTGCCACTACGTTTGGAATTATACAACCACCAAATCTCTACTATACCAATACTGCTACTTCTCTTCAGGAAAATATATACGTCAAATTTAATTTGCACACAATTTGTCCATAGAAACAAAATAAATAAATAATATATGTATATATCTTTTCTTCTGGGTGGTGCGACTAAAGTCTCACGTCATATATGATATAAGTTAAAGATAAGTAATAGAGAAAAGTCTCTTCTTTTTACTGCTACATTTTATGTCACAATTTCATGGTTGGAGATATATGTCAATTACCGTTAGAATTATGCTCGCTTTGGCTGCTACTTTTTATCGTTTTGAGTTGATCCAATTTCTAAAATATTTATTTCGGTTTCTAAATTATTTTTAAATAATCACTTTTGTTTCACTATTTTGTATCAATTGTTTTACAAATAAATGATGTGGATTTAATTTAAATACATGTAATTTGTTAATGTGAGTCGTCCCGTAAACTAACTAATAAGACGGGTATTGTGCTGATTGTTTCTATGCATTAATTAAAATTGATTAAAGCCAAAGCGAACATAGCTTAGCTTGACATATATCTCCAACCTGAGTTCAATCCCACACCCCACATATTGTACTCTCAACAAAATAATAATAATAATAAAGTTGATTCTAACACCAAAAAAGACGGAGAAAATAGAGGAGGTGAGAAATGTTTAGAGAAGATGACTTTTCTAGGGCATAACTTGTACACAATAGGTAAGGAAAAAATGTTATAAAGATTCAATTTGGGTCATAATATTTTGCTCCGTCCAATACCCCTTAGCCTGTTTAACTAATTCAATCATACGACTTTGATTTTTTTTTTTAAATCTACATATGACTCAAATGAAATAAATTTAAAAAAAATATTATCGAAGCGAGCATAGCTCAACGGTAATTGGAGACTTATTTTTTTAGTACAGAATATGAATTTTTGAGATATCCATATATTAATTAAATTTGTCAAACTCATTAACTTAAGTTTTTAGATTGAGGAGTGGTTTATTTATCCTTAACAATAATATTACATTATTGGCCTCTAAATAGACTAATCACATAATTCCTACTACAATTATATCCTAAAAATTAGCTTAATGTTGCATGATAACTAAAGAGTGATCAAATGTCAACATGTATTAATGGTGTTGAAAAATGATAATAATTGATGCCAAAAAGAAAATTCTAAATAGGAAAAACTAATACTACTATTAGAGTAAAGAAAAAAAAAATGGTACAAGAGAAAAACTACCAAAAATACACTATATATGTGTAAAAAACATAATAATAAAAAATAAAAAGTTGCACGGTAAATTTTCTAGACAAAGAGACACACATATATGATATATAAATGTTGGGCTCGTAAGAAAAATGCAAATAAAGTTTCGTTGTGACGTTTATGTCCAAAGTGGATAATATCACGCCATTTTTTGTCAATTGACAAAAAATTAAAATACATTTAAAAGTATAAGAATAGAAGTTGTATTTAAACCATATAAAACAGATAATGGTAAAAGAGTTTTATATTTATAAGATTGAATTGTGAGCAATATGCAGAGTCTTATCTTTAAATAGATATAACGTTTTGAAATAATTGTCTCTTATTTATTTATTATTTTTATTTTTTTGAAAGCAACCATTTGTATTCTTATTAAATATTAATTTGATCATTAAATGTAATATGATTTTAGTTATATCATTGAGTTGTCAACTAATAATTTATTAAACTTTATGTATTATTTTTTGTCATGAAGGTCATTTATGTCATTTAGCGCTCAATTATTCCCCCTCACTTCCAATTTCAAATTTCACCCCTTCTTTCTTTCTTTCTTTCTTTCTTTCTTTCTTCCTTCCTATTGTTTTCTTTCTCCTTTCTTACACTTCTTTCGCATCATTATTCTTTCTAGGAATCTTCCTCTTTCCACAACACTTATCAAACTGTCATATTAATTTTGACAAAATTGTGAACATAGTACAAGCCTAAATTTAAATTTAAGAAAAAAAAAAAGAACAAACCAATCAAACTGAATTAACTCAATCAATTTGTGCAATATATGTCAATCAATTCATATGAAAATTCGAAATTCGGAATAAATCAATTTCATAAAATTCATCATTCATAATTAAATAAAATCAATTTTATAAAATTAGCCAACATCAATTATTTGAACTGATAGGTTGATTCAACATAGATTATTATTTTGTATCATAGGAGATTTCCCACCTAGATAGACCTTCATTCTTTCAAACGTCAAAATGTGTTTAACTCCTTCAAAGATTGAACATTAAAGTTAAAAGTGTTTACAATTTGATTGCTTATTAATTTTGAAAAATAAAATAAAACTCCATTCCTTGACCCTTTTTTCCACTGTTCAATTACATCAAACTCTAGAATTTATCTTTGCTGTCATGGCATGACATTTATTGGAATTTTACCAGAATTATTAGTAACAAAATTGGAGTTGGGAGTTGGGAGTTTGGTCAAATGTAGAACATATATTTTAAACAGGAACAATAACATAATTTAAAATCCAAATTGACCACATATAATGGAACTTTGAGGTAAAAATAAGGGAACATTTAGGTTCACATAATTACTATAATAATAATTGCAATTCTGTCAAACTATGAATTGAATGCTAAAAGATGTGATTCTTCTTTTTGCTTTTTGCTGTTGGACATGACAAGCTATTTAATGCTTCCCCCAATGGAGGTGAAGCTAATTGATTTCAAATATTTTAAATGACTAGAGGAAGATACCAACCTTTGTTCTAGGTTGAAACAAGTTTGCAGAAGGCCTGCAGATCACTTTTGTGCTTCTCAGCAGCTCCTCCTTTCTTGTTTAATGACTGTCTTTGACGATGACGATTTCTTGGTGAAAAAAAAATATGTGATTTGCAGGTATGAAGAAGCCAACCTTCGAGGCTAGCCGCTTCGGAAAACCAGATGGTGGCAAGTCCTGTCACAAGGATAGGGGCAGTCGATGGCTTTCACCGCTGCTCGGTCGAAGTACCAATCTCCAACGGCCAGTGCAATTGGCTGCATAATGTCAATCCACAACATTTCATCAAGTTCTAAATCTGTTGATCCTAACTCTTTGTATTTACTATTTGTTGAGACAGTGTGTTCACCTTGTTTCCAATGACTGGAGAATTATCCCCGAACCACGTGTCCTGTCGCTCCGTTTGGCAGTGAGCAAAACATGAGTTGATAAATAACCCATTTTTATAAGATTTTGAGAAATCACCAACAGCATTTAACATTTGGTTCCTGAACCCTGTTTCCAGAAACACAGCCACAAAAACTCATTGAGTAACACTCTTTTTCTGATCTTTTCAATAAGAGCTTGATCAACTCCTAACTGGAGAAAACTACCTTGAAGAAATTGAATCTGAGGTTGGTTGCATTTTGCATGATTTAGTCTACAATCATGCCAATATCCAGCAGGATCCAGAGATGGTGGGGCTATACTAGATTGTATCTGTTTTCAAGTGAGAGATTGTATCATTCAAACCCCAACCCGAGTTTAAAATAAAATATTATCGCATTCTCAGCTTGGGAAAATATACCTGCCAGGAATCGTAGGCTGCATTGACGAGAAACAGAGGGGTTCTGACTCCAGCAATTAGATTTTGTGGGAAGAAACACTGAATTTGGAGGTGGACGGAAAAGTGAAGTTAGTTTCAGAGCAGTACACAGTTTTTCTACAATTTATCAGAGCATATCAATGGCAGCTTGGGCGCTAATTAATTACCGAAGTTGGATCAAGGTGGTTGGTACAACCAGAAGGCAGATTCCTTTTCGCTCCCTGCAACAATCATTATATAATTGCACAAGCATTTTAGATTTACACTGAGCTTAGAGAGGAAATACTCAAGAAACCAGAACACCAAATCAAGAGAAAATAAGCTCAAGTAAAAAGTGTAACCATTGCATAAGGTGAAATCCGTTGACACAAAGGCAACGCTGAAAGAATACTAGTACAAGTAAAAAATGTAACCATCTCTTAAAAACAGTATTATCTTTACTTTTATATCAGAAACAACATGAACATATTTGTATAAATGAAGAAAAAAATACAAAAAATGATCTGGGAATAAGATACCCTGAACCTGAATGGAAAATAAAGAGTATACATATTTAAAAAATAAATAAAAAGTCCCACCAAGTCTGTTTTCATGAGATTGACCAAACGCCCTCACAAGATCAAAGATTCCTTGATTAAGTCGATTTGGAAGTTCTCTTGCCCAAAGAAAGTCAAAGTTTTTTTTTTTTTTTGTAGAGTTCAGCCTATAGAAGCCTAAACACCTATGAGATTCTGCAAAAAAAAGCTTCCTACTTGGTGTATCTCGCCCTCGGTGCGTTGTTTCTGCTATCAAACTCCAGAAAGCCTATATCACATCTTGTTGCATTATAAACATGCCTCTCTTTACTGGTATTTCTTGCATAACGTTTTCGACCTTAATAATATTTTATGCCCAGATCAGTCGAAGATTTGGTCCTTGAGGCTTTATGGGGAGGGATGTTTAGAGGCAAAGCTAAAACTCTTTGGAGCTGCGCAGTTAGAGCATTGTTTTGAAGCATTTGGAAGGAAAGGAACAGCAGGGTCTTGAATAGTAGACACCCGTCTTTAGATGCTTTTTGTAATTGTGTACAATTCCTAGCATTTTCTTGGTGTTTAAACTTTAGGAATTCTTTTTGTAACTACAATGTGATGCTTATCCGTGATTGGAAAGCAGCTCTCAGTAGTTTTTGAAAGGTGGGGGCTTTCTCATTCCTCAACCTTTAGGCTGTACATGGTTCTATCAATACATAGTTTCTGTTTCTTATTTTTTTTCTAAAAAAAAAAAATTCCTAAAATCTAGAATTGATCATCCGAACTACTATTGCACTGAACTTATCATCGGTTTATTTCTGCCGTCATACTGTAAACACCAAAATTATGAACACCATGATTCAGTATACATTTCATGTCAGTTTGTTTATGGGTTCTAGAAAGGATTGGTGATGTAGCAAAGCTATAATGATAGTAGATTTATCTAATAGAGAGACATTTGTGAGTGTCTAACATACACGACTAATCTCATCAAACAACTATCTAACCTTATAACGCTTCATTGTTAAGAAATTCATTCAATTTTAATATTCTAGCCAGGTACATAGTTCACTAGCTAAATAACCACTAAGTTAACTCATAGTGGTTGATGACAAGTAGATTATTAATATCCTCATAATTTCTACAGCTTTTTAAATTGAATCTTCGAGTTAAAAATTAATATTTTTATGCTTTCCACAACGTCAGGATGGAAGGGAGAAAAAAAGGAAAAATTATGCCAATCACAAATGTCCTGATAGCAAGACAATAATCATCTTCTATGCTTCCAAAATCTAAAACAACAATAGTTTGACCTCCTGAACTTCCAAAGAATTACTCCTTAAAGTCAGTGTATCGACTTACTGGAGGTTATTTTCTAATATTAATTTATTAACCGATAGGACAAGAAAAACACAAAGCCATATATTAAATACTTTAGTACCTGCAAACCCACCACGCCACCAAATAAGCTCCTAATAAAGTGCCCTCCAGATATATCAGCCCTGAAATTCCATGAAAAACTAATGAATACTGGACTTGCAGCATCTAATTTAACACATGGCTGATGATTTTATTTATAAGAGCGATTGCTGAAAAACACAACCAATAAAATTCAAGAATTCAAGGGCATGAAAGCATTTACACATCAAGGAATAATCCAGCATCACTCAGACATTTCACTTTGGTAGTTCTTGGAAGTAAGTCTCGAAACTCATCACAGTGTACAATAGATGCCAAACCTCCAGCAGAGCAGCCCGAAAGCAAGGCCTGAGACAGGAACAAAATTAAAAATCAGAATTAAGAAGTAAAACTAGCTGAGATGATGTGGTAGATAAACTAGACCTGTTTTGCAAACCGCATTCCCTCGGCCTTCAATGCGTTCATTGCAGCCAACCAAATCCGCTGTCCTCTAAATTGCAACTGTGCAGCCTGTAAAATACTCGCTCTATTTAGTAGGAGACATACATGAGATTGCGAGATGATAAAAGGACAAAAGACAATTGCAAAATGGGACCAGTATTCCAAGATTTAAGCAATGATTTTCTAATTCAAAAGCAACTAATATAAAATAATTCTTCTTTCATTCAGTAAGTTCCTAAATTTTGCGTCAACTCATAACTTATAAGGTAGAGAGAAGAATACAAAACTTGCAATTTACAGAAGTATAAGCAGGGAAGGCCTTAATATCTTGTTATTATTACAAGGATGAGCAGAAGAATACTAAAGCAGCTTCTGAATGCTAATATATGCCAATTTGCTGCTCTCACAAATGAGTAACAACAGAACACTGTCTTCAGAGCTAGATATGAAATTACATTAGGAAGGCACTAGAAAATGAAAATAAATATAGCACAAACCTTGTTTTCAGAATCCCCAGTAAAAGAGGCACCATCACAGTAACGAACCTTTACTCGATTCCAATTAAAAAAATCTGGAAGGCACATATGAACATTGTAATTGTTAGTGAATCTATGTGAGGAAAAATATAAACGGGAAGTGAAGAGAAAAATATTAAATTAGAGAGAAATAAAAGAAAACCAGGATTTTCTTCAGCTTTGTTGCTCAAAATTCCTGTAAATGGTATCTGCTTCTCCATGAATCTGGATGATCCACGCCTGGTTGTTTTCCGGTAGACACAATTCCTGATATTATTACACCATCCACCCCCCTGCCAAAAGATGCCGGAGTTGAGGTCGAGTAAGGACATCTTAGTAATATAGTATGATGGCAGAGTAAAGTTGCAACTATCATAGCCAACGATAGAACACTAAGCATACTAGTACAATGAGAATCCTGAGCATATTAGTATAACTGGCTCGTCTTGGAAGTTAAAGATGTTAAGATCATCAAACCAGTCGATCACAATACATCGAGATGAAATCATTTTGGACCAGAGTTTTTTTTTTAATTTAAAAAAGGAAAGATTATTCAGCATCCAGACTGATCAAAGGTTCAAATTTAGAATCCTAAACATATTACATGCTGTCGAGTCATCCCTCCAAATTGATGCTTTAGCTAATGTATTCAGGAAAGGATTCTCTTACTTCTTTTCTAAACCTCTAGAAAGTGAAGAATTAGAGAAAAGTATCAATCTCAAAAAATTGGTAACTTATAAATTACTAGAGACATATATAGAGACAGACGCATTTGGTTGACAGTTCTTAGGTATGGGAATTTCATCTGAATATTTACGGAACCCGAAAAAATAGATAGGAAGAACATCAAGTTTGAAATTGATTGACACATTATGAAAACATGTTTTCTTTAGTGCCATTGTTCGAACAAACCTCCAATTGAACAAGCCAGCTATTTGCTCCTGACCCATATCCCCGATGCAAGTGATATCCAGGCAAAGTTCCATCCAAACAGACTGCAAGGAGTAAAGAGAGGGAAAAAAACATGAAAAATTATCATGGCATTTCAATGCATCGATTGTGCTGAATTACAGGAAAAGAAGTCTAAATATCCGCCGCTGAGAAGTTAACAAATATTTGGGAAAATTAATGATGGGGCCTAATATGAAATAATTCCTACAGCTGCACAAAGGATTAAAAAAGGTAATTCATAAAGAAAAGGAAGAAGATAAAGTGTAGTGCAAGTAATGGATATAGAATAAATCTGGACAAAGAAATCCAGTATCCACAAAGAGTTGTTGTGCAAGGCTACAAATAGAAGCGGCAAATCAGAGACCACCCTCTTCGATTTCACATCAACAAATCTAAGTTGCAATAACAGAGTGGGAAAAAAAAAAGATAGTACCTGCTTGGGTTGCATCTGCACCATGAATGAGAGTGAGTCCCACCATAAGAGGATTAGTGGTGGCAGCAAAGGAAGATTCATAAGAGTCGAAAATGGATGAATCTGAGAGATTATATGGGTGAAAGGCAAGAACCCAGTTGGTAAAAGGGAGTACTAATAAGAGAAACCCATGAAGCAAAAGCTTGGCCATGGCTGTGCCACTGCCTCCGCTAGTCCCACTGAATGAATCTTGTACTCCCAGAGCAAAAGGGGAACAAACAAATGGAAAAAGCGGAAAAGCGCAGTGGAAGTAGAAAAGGAGGTAGTATTAGAGCGGCAAAAGGGAAAAGGGATTTGAAAACGCGTGGAGCTGCAGCTGGCAAATGGGGGAAGAAATTATTGAGGAGAAATGTTGGGCATTTGGCTGTGATGAAGCTGAAGCAGAAGCAGAGGAAAATGGGGGAAGAAGCGGACGAGGACACAGAGATTAGCGGAGAACAACGTTTGCCGGGGTTTTATGGCACCCACCCGGCACGCCTGGAATCTCATGCAAGGATTTTTAGCCTCCACAGACGGGTAAAGCTAAAGCCACACCCGGGTCATCCATCGAGTGTGACAGATCAATCCTCACCGTCAGATCGGAAGCACCGATATCAGACGGCACCACGGAACGCCACACACGTTCGTCATCTGTGACGTTGCTCTTGCTCTTGCTCTTGCTCTTCAATTATTACTGTATTAAATTTAAAACGTATCATAATTCAAAATCATTTACTCTTTTTTTTTCCTTTTTGCAAGGGAAAATCATTTTATTTACTTCTGTTATTTTAAATTTTCAACTACGTCTGTAATTTTAAAATTTCAAGTTTGAGAATACTTATTCACAAAATGGCTGAAACTGATGTGGCGTGCTGTTATTGGTCGCATTTTTGATCTCGTTTAATTTTTTTCAGCCATGTCAAATTAGAAAGTTGGTAGAAGTTGTTCCGATACGTTTCTATCCGATTCGAATTATCTTTCTTGCTGTTAGATTCACTTAATTAATTGATTCAGTATCTTTTTCATATTCTAAAATCTAATTCTAAAAATTATGTTTTTCATCTTTTCAATATTTTCATATTTTAAATTTAAATTTTTAAAATTTTAAATTACATTGACAAATAAAATTTTTTATAAGTATTTTATTTCATGTAATAAACTCATTTCATTAGGCTAGGAGTAAACTTATAAGATATATACAAATTATATAACATTGAAATATAATAATTCTATAAAAATTATAACATATATCACATATATATAGATAATATTATTTTAGATTGAACTAAATATAGTTGTCATTATCTCTAGTTTACAAATATATTAAAAAGTATTATGAACTAATTTTTAAATTGAGATTCAATTTTCAAATTTATTATCAAATATATATTCGAAAATATTCAAAGTAGAGAATACAACTCAACTTTTTACTAAATACATGGATCACCAGATATCTTTATTGGTATGTAGGCAAACATGGTCMTTTTAAATTAATTGTTCAATTTATATATTATTTATTTGAAAAAATTAAAGTAGTATTTACTTTTATAGGATTTAAATTAATCATTTTAAAATATTAATTAGGCTTATAAAAATGAAAAAAAAGCAACTTTAAAATATATTATGCTTTCAAAATTGTGTAAGATCTTAGAAATAAGATTTAATACAAAACATAAAACTTGTTATTTTAATTTTATTTTATTTTAATATGTATTTTTAAAATGTTCGTTTGGTTCCTATACTTTAAAATTTAGTTAATTTTAGTCTTTATAATTTTAGAATATTTGTGTTTGATACCTTTAAGAAGTGGGGTGACCATTTTAATCCCTTAATTTTATTTATAATCTCATTTTTTATATTACAATTTCCACGAGACACTACACTCGATATATTTATTGAAATGTGACAATGAAATTTATATTAAAAAGTTATCATTAGAAGTAGAATTTGTATAAAAATTTTGAAAATTGGGATAAAAACGTCACTTTTAAAAATTACAAATATCAAAACGAACATTTTGAAACTACAAACATTAAAATAAATCAAAAAATTATAAATAAATAAATTAAAATGAATAATTTTAGAATACATGGATTAAAATAAATCGAAACTAAACTAGAGAGATAAAAATAGTATTTTAACTTAAAATACGAGGTGAATTATGATACAAAAATATATATTAAATTTGTTGCAACGAAAGTATACGATGGGGAGAGAAAGTGGAAGCGGGAAGCAGCAGAAACCACATGATAAGAACCGTGAAGCCCGCCGCACGAAATAAATAACTCTTGTCCATTGAACTCTGTTTCTTTAATTTTGTTTGTTATTAACTTATTAATATCCTTTTTTATAATAATAATTAAAAACAAAAGAGGAAACCACCGTCTGGATTGGATTCTTCTTCGCATATAATTTAATAGAATAAATTTCAAAAAACAAAATAATAATAATAATAAAATAATACTGTTTTTTTTTATTATTATTAAAGTAAGATCTAATCTCTTCTTCACATTAAAATTTTCACATGAGAGAATCCTTATCTTATTATATGTGACCCACAAACATTACATTACAACATCTTTTTCTTCTCAACAAAGCAATATCCCAAATAAATTCACTTCTAAATAACTAATTCACACATTATATGTACACATATTTTATTAGGATGTGTTAGCTTTGCTTCACCCATGACGTCATGTACCTGTTTTTTTTTTAATAGTAATTACAAGGTAGATCCAACCATCAGATTGGCTCATTCGCAATCAACTTTATATACTTGGAGTTGTTTTCGACTTTTTATTTGTTCTTCGAAAAATATATTGTTAAATAAAATTTGTAAAAGAATTGTATTTTCAATCTACAAGGTTAAACGGATATATTACGTGGTTAAATTACAATCTGATTATTAAATTATTAAATTTGTACTTATTATGTTCTCATCTTTTATGAAGATTTTAGTAAGTTTTTTTAACTTTTTAAGTTGGATTACAGTAGTTTAAAGGAAAAATATTAGACATAATTATTAAAAGATTATTAGGTGGATTGACTTAGAGTAAGTTGGTGTTGTATAAACATAAAATTTATTGAAGGTTACACGTTATTAGACACAAAATTGAAAATTCATGAATTATAATTAAAGAAAATTAAAAAAAAGTCTAAATAAACCCACTTTGAAAGTCCATTTACCAAATTTATAACTTAACATTTAATTTTATATATATTCTCAACTACGTATTTGTAATTTAAGAAGATGTTAGGAAGTGAAAACTTGGGAGCCGGTTGGATCGACGTGACGAATTGATATAGGATCATTTTTTATCTTGATCATTAAGATCTTGTATTTGTTCCTTTGAATAAGGTTGGGTTAATTAATCCATAACAACTATAATTGATTAATGATGGTAGTGTTAGAGTAGATTAAAATTATTGTGAGATTTATGTTATGGTTTGAGAGAATAGAAAATGAAGAGCGGTTGGTTAGAATATAAAGGAAATGGGGTGGGTGAATTGATTTATTTATGGAAAAATAAATGAAAATAAAAGAATTGATTTGAAAGAAGAAGGTTGTGAAGAATGGAAGAAAGTGAAAGGATGGGAGGTGGGCGATTGCGATGGTTGTTGTGTACAGCTCTTGTGTGCACCGACACATAATTAGATAAATTGGAGGTTTATCAATTCCATTGAAAATTTCTCAATCCTAATTTCTAACAATATTTAAATACTCACCGATGGATTCGTGTTATTTCAATAAAAACTTGGTAAGGTAACCTTTTAATTTAGTAAGAAAAAATAGGGAAAAAATATATTTACCTCATCTCTTACCGTCTTACTTGTTAAAATATTTAATGATCGTCGGTAAATTTTACTAAAATCACAATCACACACAACAAAAAATATCAATCAATCGCAATGACAGTTGGTGAAAAATAATGTAGTAACTAGTAGTAAGTTCGAATCTACGTCTCTTTATTTTATTTATGATGTAATATAAAAGCCACGATAAAAATTTTGTGAAATAAAAATAATAATTATTATATATATATATATATATATATATATTTGCTCAAATGATATTTTAATGAGAAATCATGCAACCAAAGATCGAATACATATTGATTTAGGTGAGACTACATACTCCTCGACTCAAGAAATCAAACCAAGTACTAGTCGAAAATTTGAGAAATTTGGATAGGACTTAAGACTTAGCAAGAACTTACATTAAAGGTGCGTCAAATGCCACTTATCCAGATTAAACATGATAAAATGTGCACTATGTGACATGTTGTTGTGCTTTACACTAATGATCTARCATGTCATATTGTCGCTAAGGTGTCATTGCAATGTGATAACTGATAGGTGCATTTTGTCATAGCAACGTTGTAATTATGTCAGACAATTGTGACCTATGCACATTGTCAATACTAAGCTTGTCAAGGTAATCACCTTATATTTTGTCTCTTATACAATGATAGAGATAACATGAAGGTACACAATTTAATTTGATCCTACCAAAAATATCATCAAYTATATACCTAAATTGAAGTGGATATCAAATGGCATTTGGCAGACGTCACATTTGATGCCCAACATCCCTTTTTTGTCTTTGCAAGAACTATTTTGACATTCCAAAAGAAAAGAAAAAACAATATCCCCTAAATTTTTATTCAAAATGATATCTTTTAAATATAAATTTAGATGTGAATAAAGAATAGTTCAATAGGAGCATATCATATTTAACCAAACAAARTATAAATAATCTAGAAGATTAGATATGTGCAAATTTTCAAAACAATGGATCATCAAAAACATTTTACTTACAAAACAATTGTAAAAAAAAAAAACCTTAATTGAAATATTTAAATTGAATATTGGATATATGACATTTATAGATTGATTGGGATTATTAGTGGGCATGTGAAAAAAGAGGAGCATGATAGCAATAGCAGGCCCAGAAAAGTAAGACTAAGGAAACCTCAACCTGGAAGAGGAATAGGGCCCATGCTCACGTGCGCTATTTGATACTTGATGCACACACCCACTCTCCCACTAACCAATCTCACTGTAACATACATGTTATTTTGTTATTCATGGCGTCGGGTTGGATTCATAAATAACTCTAAACTTTATCACATTCTTATCATGTTGTTAGATGTAAGAGTTCCTATAAATATATTTGTTTTTACCGCACTCTCAATACGCATAATCATTTTTATCTTCTTTATTTTCTCATATTTCTCTCTTTTTTTTTAATTGATCGAAAGATTGGTTTTTTTTTTTGGTGCTGTGGAGTTTGTTGGGAGGAAAATCTCGTTGCATGGTAGGAAGAGTCTAGTTACTGGTCTAGAGGTGCTGATCTCGACAGGCCACCCCTCATACTTGTACAATAGAACGAAAGCGATATTTCTAGCTCGTTCTGCCAACCTGAGTATTTGGTGGACAAATTGAGAACAATAGCAACTACTACGGTCAAATGAATTGCAACAACCATGCAATCCTCGTCGTGATTCCTGGATTTAGGAGTACTCAAAATTCCTATAAATGTACCACCACTCCACCCAATTTGGTAAGTAACTCAGTCTGATACTAACCCACGACCCACAAGAGAAAATTCCACTATGTGAAAAATTATTACAATCACGCATATTTCTCCTTCTGATCCCAATTATACAAATACACTCGCTCAAAGCAAATACCGCTCAGTTAACTAAAGTTGGTATACCAGGCTTAAATAGTTCAATTTGGAGATAAAGTATTTCAATTGGGATGATTAAAACCCAAGTCCATGAGTTAGTTGGAACACACATATTCATCGTACATTTTTAATGTGGGACAACTTCTACTGCTTGGTGAGTACATTCTCTCATTGTATATTTTCGAGATGTGTGACAAACTTCAATTCTAATATTTTACCAAAACTCAATAATACTCACTATTTCCTTACTCATTTAACTCGCTTCTCGCAACTCATTCTTGTTAGCTCACACACATCTCATAGATGATTCGAGCCGAACTCGAAATTCTAGAGAAGCAAATTTTTAGACTTTGAGAGGAAAAGAAAGTATAGGTGGAGTGTTATTATTACTACTACTTTTTTTTTCCTCTCAATCAACAAACAAAATTTGAGGTATCATTCTCAAAATCAACTCACATAATTTAGGGCTAGATTTTAAAAATATTAATGATTTGTAGTACAACTCACCCCATTAAAAAAAATTAAAATAAAATAAATTCTGCTATATATAAATATCACTGGCAACCTTCATGTGAAGTAACATAGATTTGTTTTTAGACAACTTAGAGAGTTATATGATAAAAATGAAAAATTTGAAATAAAGAATGCATAACTCAAGTCAATTATCATTCTCCTGAAAAAACTCAAGTTAACCATATAATTTCATATATATAATACTTACTTTAATTTTAATTTTAAGATACATGTTTATAACAAATTCCAACGAGACGTGAAAGTGAGCATAGCTCAACGATAATTGGTATAAACCTCTAACTATGAGAAATCAATTTCTCGAAACATAATAATTAYTTTATGTTAAAAAGATTTTTGATAGGTATAAAATTCATGTTAAAACTTCATAAATGGGAATAAAATGATGACTTTTGAAAATATATTACCCTTCTCAAACTACAGAGACTATCATGGATTAAAAGGAGTCGAATCAACCAACCGAAAGAGGAAAAAAAATGGTAGTTTAACGTAAAGTTTAATGTTTTTGTTTAGTTAAAAAAAAAAAAAAAAGGAAAAAAAAAAGAAAAAAGAAAGAAAGTTATAGTTACAAGTTACAGGTGAATGTTGGAAAACCGGGATTCAGAATCAGATTCACTCACATTGAGCGAACAGTAAACAAAAATTCTTCAACTGAGCCCTTCCCGCCTTTCTTCTTCATTGGCAGTTCGCAAATGGGCATTAAGGTATCTCCCTTCCCTTCCATTCACTCTCTACTTCATCATTCGTTTTCACCTCCATGTTGTTGTTAGGGTTTAACCAAGCTCTTAGCCGACAATGCCCCCAAAGGCATGAAGGAGCAGAAGTTCGAAAGCTATTTCGGCCGCAGAATCGCAATCGATGCTAGCATGAGTATTTATCAATTTCTTGTCAGTAATCCCTCTTTCTCCGACTTGTTTTTTTCACAATTCCAAACTACTATGCCCTCTCTCTCTTATCTCTGCCTCCACTAATGCAATTGCAGATTGTCGTCGGAAGAAGTGGGACTGAGATGCTCACCAACGAAGCTGGTGAAGTCACTAGGTGACTCCTTTCGAAAATTTTATGCCTTCCATTTGTATATCCTTTTTCTTGATGTATGTATTTGATTTTTTTTCGATTCAATTTCAAACTGTAGCCATTTGCAAGGGATGTTTAACCGGACAATAAGGCTTCTCGAAGCTGGGATTAAGCCAGTGTAATTTCTTTCTGTGCCCTGGTGTTTTAATTTCGAGTTTTTTTTTTCATGAAATTTTGGTCTGATATGGTTTTCTTTTCATTGGGACAAATGTACTCAGCTATGTCTTTGATGGAAAGCCTCCTGATTTGAAGAAACAAGAACTTGCAAAACGGTGACTATGCTATCCCATTGTATCTCGTAATGTTCAAAGGGGCAGTCGTGACTCATGATTGTAATGCTTTCCATGTTTTAAAATTATTATTAATATATTTTTTTAATGAGAAACGTAATGCTCCCAAGAAAACTATGTTTGCAGTTATTCAAAGAGAGCAGATGCTACTGAGGACCTTGCAGATGCAATGGAGGTATTTTCCATTCTTCTACTTTTGTGTTTTGTTCCTTATAGAGCACAGCACATAATACAGCAAAGTATCTCCAGCAAGTGCTCCTTTTTGTTGTTCTAGGCTGGCAACAAGGAGGACATCGAGAAATTCAGTAAAAGGACGGTGAAGGTTAGTTATTTGCTTTAACATTTTCCCTTAAGTAACATATTCATAGTACTCATTAAATTTTAGATCGATTTATTTACTCTCACAAATGAACAGTAAAGGGATGGGAGCAGCATGCAAAGGTTCTGGAGGTTGTATAATATAATATTAAAATATAAACCATATGCATATTATAGATATTTGTGGTTAAACTGGCAGGTTACGAAACAGCACAATGAAGACTGTAAAAGACTCTTGAGACTCATGGGAGTGCCTGTGATCGAGGTGACGAACACTATACTATTGATGTTCGTTCAAGTGATCCATTGYTTCAGTTGTAACATGTTTGAGTAAACAGCAATTGTTTTTGGATGTTGCAGGCTCCCTCTGAAGCAGAGGCACAATGTGCCGCACTTTGCAAATTAGGAAAGGCAAGTATCCCTCTGCTGTATGATAATTCCTCTATAGTTTCTTGAATGTGAACTGACTAACTAAGAATCAAGGGCACAAATATTGACCTTCGAGCCAGATTGAAGAAAATACAAATTTGAAAAGTTTACTTGGATACTTTATCACTTCCCATATTTCAATGCTTTCAAGCCAAACAAATTCTACAATGTAAAGCATTGAGCTATACATGCTTGTCCCCTCGTTCCAATTTTAAATTTTGAATAGATTTAAATGTCATAAAGCAAAATGGGTGTAGAATCAAGTTTTGGAAGGATGCTTGACTGTGAACCTCGCCTTTGGAACAACAAATTCCAGATCTTTACAATATCTCGCTTAAGAAAGAGAATACAGTGACTGATTGTTGGAATGAAGTGCAAGGCGACTGGAATATGGGCTTTAGAAAAGGTATCATGGACAGAGAGATAACTAGTTGGATTCTTTTTGATGGGGGACAGGGGAATATAAGGTAATACCAAGTGGGAGTTCTTTTGTAATCTCCTTAGCTGTTTGGGGTAGCCCATCTCCTTTTTACTCATCTTTTTGATACGAGGAAGACGAGTCTTTGTTTCCTGTATTTATATAAAAGAAATTCTATATTCAAAGAAAAAGCCATAACCATAGTCTCTCCTAAGATTAGGCAAAGAGAAAGAAGATAGAAACAATCCACGGGCCTAGGTTGCTCAAAACTTTTTTTTCGATAGGGGAAACAAAGACTTGTACATTCCTCATATAAAAATGATGTACGGAAAAGGAGATGAGGTATCCCCCAAGAGGATTACAAAAAGGAATTGGCATAAACCTGAATGAAACTATAATTACAAAAATATGTACGTTGAGCACCATGAAGAAGGATTTTCTATATCTCCTTCTGGAGTTTGTATCCTTGAACTATTTCTCCT